CTTTCTGTACCACAAGGGTTGAGAGTTTCCAATGAATGATTCAAGTTAGCTGTGATTTGTGCCATAGGTCACAAAGAAAAGAAAATTTTACTTTAGAAATATTTAGTTTTCCATTGAATTCATTAAATCTGTAAAATTAGACAATCAAGATAGTGTCATGCAAGAATCCAGGTATGAATCGCCATCCTTTCTGGGACGGTATTTCTGCGTACTCGTCTCTGGTCGCTGTTTCAGGGTATAACATCATTTTTGAGTGAGGAGAACAGAGGGATTCGGGGAGTCAGCACTGATGGCTCGCACATGTGGCTGAGGAAAGACAGCTTAGAGGCTGGACCTCAAACAGCAGAGGAAGTCCTCATTCAGGCGGACACAAGTGGATGACTGAGTGAGTAAATATGCTCAAGGTGTTGATACAATGCTGAGTGTGTACGCACAGTCATACACACATCCTCCTGTAAGCAAAGCACTGCATGGGGCTCTTTCAGGCCAAACATAACGTCTGCAACACATATGCAGTTGTGCCTTTAAGAGCTTTGTTTTCATGCTCTATCAATCCACAATGTAGATAGAGGCCGAGAGGATTTAGGAAATGGATTGGGCTCTGAAAACAGTGTTAGAAGATATGTTGTTTTTATCTCGTAGCTTTTGCGGTGTTTAACTTTACAGACTTAAATGTTTAATTTGTCAAATGTGAGCGTTTAGAAGCAGTTTTGGGGCCTTCAAGGTGCAGTTTCAAGATTTTTTTCTCTGCTGCAGCGTCCTGAATAAATTTGCCGGTAGACAAAATCTGTCCTTTCTTTCTTTACATTTTAACCTTGTAAATCAGAGTTGTTAGGAATTCCGAGACAAGATAGGGGGCCTGTAAATGCTCAATGTGAAAAACTTGAGATAAATGTTAAAAATACACAGCTACTTCAAAATCTCACAACAGTGAAGTATTAGTGAAGAAAACATGGTGTTTGGCAACAAACATAGGCATAGTTGCCTGGATTTAAAATAAAAAACATCAGATAGTGCAAAGTAAAACATGTAAAGCTGACACCTTTAACTTCAAAGGTCAATTGAATTATTTTGTTTTTGTGTTTCTTGAAATAATAATCACATGATCAGACCATAGAAAATATTGGCCTGCTAAACTACTCATTTATGTCTATTTAACAAAAGATTTGTATTCAATATTTGTATCTTTTTAATATGTTATATAATCCATGAAAACCACCACTCTTATAATGTCTAAAACGCCTCATAAATAATCAAAAATAACATTTAGCGAATAAGACAGTTGGTAGGTTTGTAAAAGACTTAACATATAATAAATCTAAAGCTCATAAAGTGCAGCAAAGAATATCTTTGGGGGTAACTAGCCATTAGATGCCATCTAAAGCCCAGTGTTTTATTGGGAGAAAGAAAAAAAAAGTCTATTCCATCATAATAAATGTAAACCTGTGAAATTTGATTGATTTTGAGTGGAATAAAGAGCTTTGATTTGTTTAGAGGAAGATTGACCTTGTGTGTTTAGAATATAACTAACCTGGACAAAAAATTAACATATAAGATAATGTCTACAGCCCTCGATTAATTATAGCTGAAGAGTTGTGATGCTGTGGGCCAATTATTCTTTCAAAGGCCTTTAGAACATTGTTTAAATACATGCCATCATGAGGACATGGAAAATCCTGGAACATTTTAACCACGAGGTGGCCTCTGCCAGCAAACTGAAAATGCGTCAGGAGGACTAAGACTTTCCGGCGCGAAGATGAAACAGTACTTTTGGATAACATGGTTGGTTTCCCATAGGTTGCGGTTGTAACTGTGCTCATTAGGCTTTTCCCAAAACAAGCCCTACCAAACCTTCATCCCCATCCTGAGGAGAATTGGCTGAAGTTTTCATGAAGTGGATGAGTAGAGTCCTGGCATTGTCAGAAGACAATATGCTAAAACCTTATTATTGATTTCAGAAAGGTTGGATGAGGGCCGGCCAATGAGTTTTCCAGCAGTGCTACAACTTTGCTAGAACTTACAGTCTTTATCATCCCCACATTTTTACATTTTCATTCAGTACTTTGGGGGGTTTAAGCATGATACATGTTTTAAGGTAGTACAACACTTTCTGAAGTAGATTTAACTCAGGCTTTAGTCAGACCCCTTCAATATGTAATTTGTCTAGGATATCAATAAAAAATGTTTTGGTAAATCTGAGACAGGAGTTTGTTCTTTTGAGTCGGTAGTTTGTCCTGGCCTTGAAATTGTCCTGTGGAAGTCGTGTATGCCCAATCTCTAGTATTAATAGTATAATTTAGGCAAGTTGGGCGAGCAGGGAGATAATATGTTGTAGTGGGTCGTTTTATAACCTCTTAATTGACTGTTTAAGGTATTCTTGGAGCATTTTTGGTTGATTAGCCTCTCTTCTGAATGCTATCGATGATGGCTCTCTCTAAATTCAAGATCTTTTCTGATAATAGATATGGGGACTTTTGTTTTTTACCATTTTCAAATGTTCCTTTTTTTTCCTTTTAGATAATGCATTGCTTCGGAGATTATTCAGATTTTCCTTTCAAATTATTATATCTGCAGGTCAGGTAACAATCTGACCTGTTTTTTTTGTTGTTTTTTGTCACTTATATTTTATTATTTTTGATCATACAACGAACATACAAATAAAAAGAAAACAAAGTACATTAACATGAACATGTCTGGGTAGCACCTTCTTTTTAGTTTTTCTGTTTATATAATGTCCATTTTTCCCATTTTTTTTTTCCATTTGTGGTTCTTGTAGTCTCAGTCTGTGTGCATGTAGTCTAGTAAGTTTATTCATACTTCAGTAGAGTCAATTACTTTTTACCCCAGAGGTCTTTGAAATAAGTAATTATCTAAAAACAGTCAAATTTAAGATTAGCTAGTTGATCTGAAATATTAAAGGTATAGTTGAGGATCTTCTTTTTTAGGTGGATCGTCAAAATAAGTCCTCCTAACTGTCAATAAGTCTAGTGATATGTTTATGTAAGGCTGTCCTACGTGCTCGTCCCCATTTGAACTTACCGGTGACAGAGTGGAAAAACTGGAAATCTTCTTTTGGAAAGTAAGCTTGTATGAGCGGTACAAACAGCAAATTTTAAACAGAGCATGCACGAGGAGAAATGAGCTTGTGCATGCTCTTGCACACATTTAATAGGTGTTCCCTTTTGGGAGCCGATACAGGGTTTTGCATGTGATTTGGAGAGGGCAGGTCTTTCCAACAATTATCCTCCACTATACCTTTAATGTGTGACAAGGAGAGCAAAAAACAGAAGACATTTGTAGGAGGGCAGTTCGCTATTAAAGAAAACCTAAAGATAGTCGTCCCATTTGCCTGAATAGCAAAGAGACACTCAACTCTTCCTCACTATAAGTGAAATCAAATAACAATCGCGACTTTTCTTCTGCTATATTGTCAGGAAGGGGAGAGAAAGACATGTCTGGTATTGTATTAAGGATAAAGGTTTAAGAAATCACACAGGTCATATATAAAGTTGTCATTTTCATATATTTGTATATATTCATATATTACACATTTAATACAGATACAATCAGAAATCAAAAAAACAGACAGAAATGGCAGAGATATGGTAAAAATGCGACAATCACTTGCACAATGTAGCTCTTTTAACCTCAATAAACAAACCGATAGGGAGGAAGGGGAGGGGCCTGGAAGATTAAACTTGTTAAAGGTATCCTTGTAGTTTTGTGGGGACAGCAAGAACCAGCTTGCTTATTCCTTAATACGGTTACAGAAAGTGAGGGATCATTTCTAAAATGTGTTTGTCTACTTTAGGGAAAAAGTGACTTTATTTAAACAAGCTCAAAGCCTGAAGTTGGTTTCTTTTAGACTTGTTTTCTTTTTTATTCAAAGTATATACCAAAAATTGACATGTACCAATAAAATGCACATGAACATTTACACACAAGATTAGTGTCTGCACTTCATTTAACGCTAAAGGGGTCAGCTTGAAGGGTTTTAAAAAAATGAATCAAAATGGATTTTCATATCTGACATCTGGCTTTTAAATAGAGACACTTAGTGTATTTAATAAGGATATGCTAACAACAATTAATTGCTAAATATGCTGTGGGCTGCACCGAGCTATGGATTGCAATAGAGAATTAAAAAGTTCACAATTATTCCTCACATCCGAGGAATCAACCATCTGCATGATGCAGTATATGTCACTTTAAATACACCACAGCGATGATCACAACCAGATATATTTTGCAAAAGTTAGAAATTCTCCACCAGGAAGTAAAAAGCCAGAGCCCTCTGTTAGGAAAAAGGTTTCAACAGAGCACCAAGAATCAGGTACTTCTTTTATTCCTGAACCTGCTTCAGGTTTGTGCGGCGGGACAGGCGAGCAAACCGTTGCAGGTTTAATGGCAGCTTGGTGTCACAGTATTTACCCGGAGTCTATGTCAGTCGGTGCAGAGGAGCCCTAGGAAGGCATTTCAATCATTATTTTAGCCTTTGCTTACATTGACTGGCATGCTGAATAGAGAAGAAACCAAACTAACCTAACATGTTAGGGTTTTAATCAATGAAGGCTAAACAGACTTTTGCTTCACGAAGACAGCTGAGACCAAAACGAAGTGACATTTTCCCTTCAATATCCACATTAAGAGAGTAAATAACACACCTGGCACATTGATGGGGATTTTCTTGTTAATTTCGCTGCAATATAAACAAGTACAAAAAAAACAACAACCATTTATTTAGGCACATTTCTGATTCAAGGCTGCTAGCTCAATTTGGTTTAATGTCCCACGATTTGTGTTTATTTGCCACAGTGATGAATTGAAGACTCTTATTTTAAATATCAGCACTTTAGGTTGTTATCAAAAAATTATCAGGATCTATTTTTAAAAAGACAGCAGGGGTTTTTAATCTCCAACTTCTGGAACCACACCAGTGAATCAGAGCTTATATCTAAAAATCCATCTATGCAGTTTTCATCTTTTTTTTTTTTTTTTACTTTTGTTCCACAGTACAATATCAGGCACTGAGGCTGGTTTTTTGTTGGTTTTGTGTTTGTTTGTTTTTTTTTTTTTTTCATTTTATGAAATCATTAAAACAGTTGGTTTAATATCAAGCTTGTGCCAAAAGTATGTGTCCTGTTGAAGATTAATTTAACCTTCATTGCTTCATTGCACGTTTAAAAACAGGGAAACGTCAGTAAATGGGAGCTGGGTTATTATTTACAGTTTGGCGAGAGCATTTCTTCTCATCCACACACAAAAAATTGGTTTCTCATTCCTTTAAGGCTCTTACAAATGAGTACAAGAGGAAAAAGAGCTTCTGGAAGGGCTGTTAGTGCATTGATTTTTTTTTTCCTTTTCAAAATGTCAAATATAATATAAATTTATGGCTAATCGGTACATTTTCTCTGTACAAAACTGATCAGAAGGCATTATTAGAATTTGTATCTACACATTTTCTGAAAGCTCATCTCAGTTTTTTTGTATTTTTTTTTTTTAAACAGTGTTCGTTACTCAGTGCTGTTTTATTGTAGTGAGATTCTTGCTGTGTGAGACCGTGGGCAGAAGTGCTCCGGTGAATCTGGACGTTTCAGCTTTTCTTTTGATCGGTAATCGAAGGTGTCGGTCACCTCAGCAATCTGCCATGTAACGACCTGCAGAGACAAGAATGGGATTTCTTTTAAGCTCTGGTAAAGGAGAAAACATTAGCAACAAAATACATAGTGGTGAAAGTCCTACTGAAAGCTCTTGAAAAAGAGCCACAAACGTCAATGCGGTTTACTGGGAATTTATATGCTAAACCCACTCAGTGATGCAAATCTTTTGGAAAGCATGGCGTACATTTGCATTTCGCACCCTGAGTCGATAATTTGTCTTTTACCGTTTGCGTTTACCAGCTTGCATGTTTCAAGTCCCGCTGGAAGGTCATTTTCAGGAATTTTTTTTACTGAAGAAAAAAGAACCCACAGGCATTTGCTGCCACCACCACGTTACAGTGTGGTAGACATCGCATAGAGGAAGTACAGTGGTAGTTCTTTTTGCTCAGAGGCAATAAAGATCCTTCTTCTGAAGAACCTTCTACTAGACTTAAGTTTTGTACCTTCTATGACTTTTTAGCAAACTGGACGTGCACTTCTTCTTGCAACTTCCGGATAATGCTGAGTTGACAACAAACATGTTTTGGGCCTTAAAAAGGCATCCAACTTGGGTACTTGTGCACAATAAAGTCTGCAACGTTGTTGATGCTCTTGATGCGGTGTAGCAAAGTGCTTAAAATGGCTTTGACGTGCGTTAGGGGGTGTTGCCATGTTCTCTTCCTTTGCTGGCCTCTTGAGCAAAATGGCAGATACAACAGAGAGAGTGGCTTGGCCTTGATTTACATGAGATTGGGAAAACAGAAGTTTTAAGGTGTTTTTAATTGAGAAAGTACACCTAAAAACATGAACCATTGAGTGAGTTCAACAGGGTTATGATTCTAATTTTAAATATTCTATTGTTGTTCTGAACAGCAAACCTCAGCATACAGCCGGGCGGCAGTGCTGTGAAACCGCAGTAACAATTTCCTCAAACCAGCCTGTCACTCTGCCGGAGCAGAGATCACGGCTCGGGCGCAGTGGCTGCCTCCCAGCCGGCTCCCAGATCCGCTTGTATCATTGGGTGACGCAACCATATCAGGATGCAAAGTTAACATTTTGCAACTGTTGTGTCTGCAAATTTGGACAGGTGTCAAGGCTTGCGACATGCTGGAGCACCTAACAACACCTTTAGACCCGCATCCATCAGAGAGTGTATGGTAGACAAACACGCTTTGAGGCAATGACCCTCAAAATGTGTGAACGCACCGTTAATGTCAAATGTGCAGAACACAACATCAGGTTCTCTGCTGTTTTACAGATTGATATCTTCTTTAGCTTGTTAGCCAGGTTAGGAAAACCTACCAAAATTCGGCTATCCACCTGGGACAGTGGCGTTGGGTGTAGGATTTTGCCCTGAAATCGAAGGGTTGGCAGTTCAAGCCCCGGCTCAAGCTTTCAGTGTCGCTGAGTAATAGGGTAAGACACTTCATCACCAGCATTGCGTACTGATGGTGGTCAGAGAGCCCGATGGCGCCAGTATACGGCAGCCTCACTTCTGTAAGTGAGCCCCAGGGCAGCTGTGGCTACAGTGTAGCTTGCCACCGTGAGTGTGTGCATGAGGGGGTGAATGACTGAATGTAGTGTAAAGCGCTTTGAAGTCTCCTGACTTAAAAAGGCGCTATATAAGTACAGACCATTTACCACCTCAACTGCTGAGCTCTTTGGTCTTCATGATGATATTATTAGTGGTTCTGAATTTTATCACAGGGTATCTGAGCAAAAACCAGCTTCCCAACTCTAAGCCTAAAATCCCAATTAAATAGTGTAAAGTTTGTAAAGCACTGCACCTGTGGCAAATCTCTTCTTGTTGAGGGAAAGTCTGTATCCGGTGCCCAGCAGGTCCATGTCGACTCCTGACAGGGTGCTGCCCTCGTTCATGAACTGCACCGCCAGCGTGGAAGGGTTTGAAGGACCATTCGACAGCTCAAACTTGGCTCTTAAGGCACCTGATGCCAGAAAAACAATACCTTTCTTAGAACGGTAGAGATTTGAATTTTGTTGCACTTTTTGTGCATAAAAGAAAAAATGAATAAATAAATCCTTCATCACCTTCATTTTCAGACTTTTCTGAGATGTCACTAAGCTTCCACAGACACTTATTCTGCTCTGAATTCCTGAAATGAACAAGAGAGATTACACCTGAAGCTCTATTGAAAAAGAGAGATGAATGTCAGTGGGTCAGACTGTGCTCCTGGAGGGACACCATTTACTGATTCTCACCAGATGCAGTTTGGTAAAGCCTGCATGCTGGTGACTCCTCCGTCAACAGGAACCAAAACCTGAACGTTGGTGATGGGGCCAGGCGAGTCCATGGAATTGGGGTTGTAGCGGTAGTCTAGCCGCAGGTCTGTTGTGCTCGGCGTACACTTCCAGTACACGGCCAGGTTAAGAGGAGTGGACTGAATCCCATCGGACAGCACCTGAACACAAACAGGGTAATGCATAAAACCTTCAACCTTTGGGTCTGACCTAGAGTAAAGGGCATAAAGGGAGAAATATATAACTTCCCCAATGTAACAAGAAGTTATATTAGATCTGACTATTGGACTATCTGATAAAAAAGGAAAACATTATGCATATAAATCCAAATTTATTAAAAAAACAAAATACACTGACTGGATATAGATCGGCCTGAGAAAGGGGTGCTACAAATTATTTTTAAGGGTGGCAACTGAACCCCACCTTCCCCCAAAGCTGGAGACCTATTTAATGACAGAGCAGTAAAAGCAGGCAAAGATTTGCAAAGCAATATATTCAACATATTAAACTCTGCTCCACAACTGCAGCCTTGACACATGGGAGGCGATGAGAGAAACAGAATGTCTCCCATTGAGTGGAACGTACATTTTAAAGCAAAGCTATATTCTCCAGTTGTTTAGTTTCTACTCTGTTTCTCATTCAGAAAAACAATTTATCATAGAGACTAAAACGATTTGATCCAATTTAATAGTAATTCTGATTACGATAGACAGCCTAGCTGAATACAATTTTTTTTTTTATATAAACAAAGAAACATAAAAAACTAAATTAAAAAACTAAAACCAGTTTTAAACTCTTAACTAATTAAATCCTTGGAAAAAGAAATTAAATAGCTGCAATCCATGCACATTTTAGGCCAAAAGGCCGATTTAAGAAGCAGATTTAGGTTTAAATGTATTTACAGTCAACTAAGAAGGTTTGAAAAAAAAAAAAGCAGACACATTTTAAAACATATATAAAAGAACATCAGAACAGCATAAGAAAATATTATATACAAATATTTTTTTTATGTTTTAACAATAAATGTCAAAAATTATTTAGAAACGATCAATAGGAATTTTCTTTTGGGTATTAAAACAATAAAACTCTTTCTTTAGATGATTTATCTTTGGTGATAAATGTCTAAAGTTAGAAGGCCTCCAGTCATCACTCTGATCTTTATCTCCCTCCACAGATTCAGTTTCAAGTCTTGACTCCAGAACATTAATAATAAACTGAGTCAGAAGAAACATGTTAGTGAGGTTTTTGCCAAACCAGTTAAGTCCTCAACATGTGATGGTGACAAATTCACCATCAAATGAATATGTAGCAATAATGACCCCTTTCTAGCTGCAAGGACAAGCTACTCCTGTTTAAATGGAGACGACGTGACTACAGAAGAGGTTTATGGTCGATTACAGACGCTATGTTGAGAAAAAGAAGGGCACTTATTAATCTGAATAGGAACCGCATCCTGTTTTTAAACCTTCTGGTAGCAGCATCATAGTTTGGGCCTCTTTTACCGCATAAAAAGTTGTTTCCTTCACTGATAGAACAGAACGTTCAGAGTTATTTAGGTAAATTGTGAAGGAATACAGCTTTGAAGGGCTGCACTTCATCCGTATGAGCTGGGCTTGTTCTCTGTGGCTGCAGTGTTTCATTCTTCAAAGAGCTTCAGAACTCCAGACCACATAGGTCCTCGTGCTGCAGCATTTGTCACTTTAGTAACAAGCACACTCACATTTCTGAGCAAGCAGACAGTATTTTTGTAAACACCACAAAGGAAAAAAATATGTGTTGAGGACAGGCTGTAAGGACTCCCAAACCAGTGCAGCAAATACAGAACTTTTTACTTTTCTCTCGCAGCTCTGGGAAAAAGAACAAATATCTCGGTTTTTACAGGGGATTTGTTTTGAGTGCATTTTGACAGAAAAAAAAGGAGTGCAAAACATATTTCCTTTCCAACTAAGGGAGCTCATGTCTCACTTAGCTATGGATTCAAGAAGCCAACAGTGGTTTGCCTAAAAACATGGGTCTCAATCTGCTTCAATTGAATCAAATGCAGGAAGCAGTGCTTTAAAAGCAAGATAAAAAACTCAAACCACTGGTTACTCCTCAGAGGAACAATAAAGTTTGAAAGCTAATAAATGGATGACTAAAGAAAAAGCTTGAAAGGATAAGCAGATCAGGAGTCAAAAAAGGAAAAATCTGTTTGGTTTTCCTTTTAAGCACACTCAGACCCAACTTTGGTGAAGAGCGGAATAGATAATTAATAAGGTTTGATTTGTTTGTCAAACTGGGTACAAACTCAGGCCGGCATGAACTTCAAACCCAAGTCAACAACAGGATCGAGAGCCTCATTTACACCGAGCACTAGCAATGATTAAATAAGGCTCTTTAGATTTTACATATACTGGGTTTATACAGGAATAACCAACTCTAATTTAAAGCTTTTTAATGCTCTTAGAAATAATTTTAATGCCATCAACAAGTACCCATGACTCTCATATATACACAGCAAATTCATTCTTCATCTTTACCATCGGCAGGCTGCAATTCCTCGATTTCCAGACACTTTTGTTTTTCTCCGCTTTGAGCTTCTTTTCCGAACCGGCTTTACAATCAACCGGAAGCAGTTCTCCACAAATATGCAAATATATTGCAATGTATTTGCATATTTGCAAATATATATATCGTTTAAAAATGTGTTTTTATAAAAAAGCATTTTTTCAAAATAAAGCATTTTAAATGCCAAAATAATCACATTTAATGAATTTTAACGCCAATTCAGGCCTTAATTAAAAAAATTATTATTTAATGACCTAATTACTTTTAACGACCCGCGGGAAAACCCTGATTTAGATGCTGAGTGGATATGCAATGACAGCTGTGAGTTTGACCAAGGTTTAAGATATCTGTAGAAGTTACTTTGGTTTTTGCACTATTGCAGTTCCTATGCAGGCCCATAGGGGTAAACACCAACACTAACACAGCGCCGAACAAGTTGCATGTCTTACATTAAAAATGCTAATTGCCCGAGTTACCTCTATTTCAACTTTTGAGCCTCATGCTCAAACTCTATTTGCCTCCAACTTGCCCCCAGACTTAGGGATTGAAAGAATAAAACACCATAACAAAGCATTCTTTAAACAACAGTTTCTTCATCTGGATTAAGTTCTTGGACCAATTCTGGCCGACCGACCTGGTATTTTAGGATATCCACATTATAGTAGGAAGCTGAAGGGTTCTGCTCAGAGGCTTTTCTGAGGTAAGACGTCAGGGCTTGCATGTTGAACCAGAAGTCCTTGGAATTGGAGTCGCTTCGGGAAGGATCGCTAGATAAAAGGGAAACAGAAAGAGGAAAACAGACAGGGAATAATCAGAGGCTCAATTACGCATCGCTCTTCTTGGCTTTGTGTGTAAAGCTCCAACAGCTTGGAAAATCTGACCCTGTTATATTTAACCAGCTACTAAATCATGAACTCTGGTTGATTTAATTAGTTCAGCCATGTGGTTGAAGATAACTGGAAGGGAACAGAGTGAGAATAAAAAATAAGAGAAGATGCTTTTATTGCTTTGCTAAAAAAAAAAAAAATTGGTAAAAAAAATAGTGTCTTTTCTTAAGTCACCCTGTGTGGGAAGTAAAATAAAAAAATTGGTAAAAAAAATAGTGTCTTTTCTTAAGTCACCCTGTGTGGGAAGTAAAATAACTTTCTCTACAGCTAATGATGTGAGAAATAAAACAACATGCTTAATGGATGAAGTGCTGAAGGATGCAGCTGCTTTATGAAGTGTTCAGGGTGTCTTTCAGAAGAGGCATGGACAGTTGAGAACCTGGCTGTGAAAGACTAGTGGAACATTTTTCCCTGACAGCTTAATGATAGCTTTATGTCAGATTACTAATTGAATTTCCTTTCATCGGTGCAGGCTATATTTTCTGGATTCATACTGGTATGACCAAATCGTTCTTTGACTCGGCCATGACTCTGTTGCTATGACCTCATCAGCTGCTCAGGTTCTGGTGCTCCAGCCCGTGATAATAAAGCATAAAGTACCTGTATAAGAGCTGTTGGTTGGGCAGGATCTGCTCCAGCCTGCTGGTGTTTTTCAGCTTGAAGGTGAGGACAGCGGGGGAGGGGTTGTTGGTGAACACCTTGATGATGCCCATGGGGAACGAGAGCGTCATGTCTCCTGTGATCTTCACAATGCACCTGTGGAGCAAAGAGAACAGCTTTGCTGTATTTCTTAGCAGTTCTGCTTAACTGGAAAAGCCACTGACTGTGTTTGATAAAATAGTTGACCTGGATTCTCTTTCTTTTTTTAAACCTGTAACTTTTGGGTCAAGCTTTTTTTTCTGGATGAAGTCATCCAGAGAGTTTCTCCTGCAAAAGCCTCTCCCTCTCCCTCCCCCTGCTTGTTTTTTATCCCACTGCTTTTGGGTTTAGCAGTGTGTCTTTTCTGGATGAAGTCCTTCAGTGAGCGTTTGATGAACTCTCCTCTGCTGCTTTTTTTTTTTTTTTTTGCTATAAAGCTATGTCTCTTCCCTGAATGGAGCCTTTGATTGAGCTACTTCCAGAGTGTTGACATCTGAGTCAAAGAATCCATAACTTGAGCGTGACTTGGTTATTTTAGAAAAGACTTTCAAATTGACTCCGACTTGAATACTGATGACTTGGGCTGGAGCATCTTTACTTAAAATTACCTAATGCTCCCATTAGTCACAGTTTATCTCATAAAATGTGATTTTATATTGTTTGTTTCCTCATGTCATTAGGAGCCAAAGATTACTTTCTTTTTATATTTATAGGGCATTTTGATATTTACTCTAAAATTAGTCTTTCTGGTGAAATAAAGGTTATAAAAAAACAAAACATTTCAGGGAAAGATCACTATGACTTGTGATTCGCTAGTTTTGACTTGAAAGTAATGGCTACTGTTGCTAATTCCAATGTGTTTTTCTTTTTTCCCCACAGAAAGTAATCCTAAACCTCAGAGTTTTACACCAGGATAATTTTCTATTCAATTTGAAGTCATTGCCTGATAACTTTAAAAAATGTGTGCATTCGCTTTATTTTTATCTTCCTTAAAACTCTCTCCCTGGAACAGCAGATCTTTGTTTTTATTTTCCAGTCAATCGTTTCCTGTCCCCTCAAACGCCACCTGGCTGCAGCAGATTGTCTCTGATACTGAGCCTGCTTCTGCTGGGGGTTTCCTTCAGTTAAAACGAAGTAGTTCCTCTCCACTGTTGATCTCTGATCCACAGGATCAGAGATTCCTGCAATTTCAATAACTTGATGCCATTTCATTGGCTCGGCTAATTTAGAAAGATAGCATAAGTACAAAATTGAATTAAATAATCACATTAATATATTGCATAGTGTTAAGAGTTCAGGTCAAACGGGGACTGTAGATAAAATGAGCCAAAATGGGTCTTATTAGTTCTCTATTAACTTCGTTTGAGTAGAAATCTGATTTTATATTTGAAATGTTGACGCTATTTGATGGGAATGACTTGAACTTAAGAGTTTTAAAAAGTTTTGCATCTTTGGTTCAGACTGAAACTTTATTACAATCCATCAATGCATCAATAAGATGCATCCAAATAGAGTAAAACTCAATTAAATAAGAACCAATCGAAGCGCGCTGTACTTTTTTGGACTTATCAGAGTCAGCGCACTAATCCTCTGACGTAACAAGTTTAGTTATTTGCTTTACCTCAAACCGTGTGGTTGATTTAGTGAGTATATAATATTCTGTACATCTGCACGCCTCAGTGGTGTGATGTCAATCATTAGTAGTGGAGGTACTGGCTGCGGTGCTAGTGGTCCGCAGTGGCTCTCAACTTTGCTGCGCTGCCTATGAAATGTTCCATTTGCTAATCCCTGGAAAAATAAGCCTTCTGCAGAGCAGCAATTTAGCAGCAGTTAACCAATAAAAGACTGTATGTTTGCTCTGCCCCAGACTATAATCTGCCTCGTGTAGGTTATCCATCCTGAAAGAATGGTGTCAGACTCACGCAAAGCATTCCATACGTGCACAGCGAGGGGGGAGATACTGTGCAGAAGGGCTGCTGGAGGTGTGAAGAGTACAAATGGCTGAAGAATCTACAGCATATAGAGACTATGAACTGTAAAGCTTATTTGTAAAGAAATCAAACATGGATACATGCAGATTGGTGTCATGGCCTTGGGGTGTCATGTGAGACTCACTTAGCAGGATCAGCTCCTTTGAAGTAAGCATTAACGGTTTCTGTGAAGGCCACGGCAATGGGCAAAGCATCTTGGGATGCCAGGGTCACTGGACTCGGACCGCGAGACGTCCCTGAGAAAGAGAAGAGTTCGGATTAAGAGGCGTGTTTTCTCAGCGGCTGATGAGACTTTAGAAGCAAACAGAATCAATAAAGGTTGATCACGCTGAAGCACTTAAAAAAAATCATAAATGTGCAAAAAGGTACAGGGTTAGATAAAAAGGCAGCTTTTATTTCCAAGTCAAAAACATTAGGAGCATTTGTTGCACATTAGAATACTAATAAAGACAAAAATAATTTGCATTTTTAGGTTATTTTATGACATGAATTGATGAAAAAACAAGCATAAATTTGGAGAAAAAGAGCAACTAAGCAACATATTTAGCTGCAAGCTCATTCTGTTTAAAAGCGGAATGCTGTTAGTTGTTTTTCGTTAAACACAAAGGAGCGTCCTCCAGTGAGAACTTCATCCATACCTGCTGGTGTTTCACACCGCTTCTCAAAGGCAGGCAGCTTGTCTACAAACCCGTCGTCCTCTTTAGGCCACATTAAAGGCAGAAAGAGGAAGAGAGGAAATACACAAACCCAGAGGGCGCAGCGTGAGGAGATGTGATGCTGAGCAAGTTTCAAGACAGTTTCTAAAAGTGTGATGGTGGTGGAGATGAGGTGAGGCCCTAACGAGCACGTCTGATAAGACACAGAGATGTACACCAAAGAACAAAGATAACACAAAGTACTGGGAATGAAAGTCTTTAATGAACACTCATCTCGCCAGCAACACTGTGCTGCGAGTTCTCTGTGATCTTTAGCTCATCTACAGCTTTCTTAGGGGGAGATTGGCAGCTTTGGTGTTTAGTTCAGACCACGTACAAGATGGAAAACACAGCAGAAAGACCACTACATTTTTTTCCACATGTTAAATACAAAGCCACAGGTACCCAGCACCAAACCCCCAACTTGTTCTCATATATTGGCTGCATATACAGAAAATGGAAAGGTACCACAGTCACAGGCAGAAAAATATATTTACTGTCAACCAATGAGTTAATCCTTATAAAGCTATCAAAGGATATATTTCTAAAGCACATGGCTCCCTGGGAATAAATAGGCTACAAACTTTACTTTTGCCTTTGCTATTTATGCTAAATATGCATTAAAAAGTCTCACAATAAATGTGTTAAAAAGGCGATTGTAAATGGTTTACTCCTGTGGACTCAGACATAAAAATGTTTGTTTTTTGTTTCATTTGAATCAATTTGGCCACAAGCTTTAGATCATTATTTAGCTAGAGGGAGACAAATAAAAAAAATAATAATTTTTACTCTACCTGTCAACTGTGTATTCTATGTGGCTGCTTTTATTCTTATACTTTGTTTCTACTTTTAATTATCAACTTATTTGTCAATAAGAATTTCAATTTTTTTCTTAATTAATCCCTTTTATTCAGCACAGGTGTCCGCTGTTTTCAAAGAGCTACTTAAATAAAGTTGGCCTTTCATTTCAAAGAGTTCACGATGGTTTACGTTAACAAGACTTGTGGGGTTTTTACAAGAAAAAAAGCCCCACAGCATCACTGATCCTATACCGTACGTAACAGTAAGCATTAGGTGTTTGTTTTTTTTACAGTTATCCTTTCTTTCATGTCAAACCTTGATGGAGTATCTGCTATCAAAACATTGAGTCTCTAATCAAAGAAATTTAGATTTTCTGGTGGTAAATTGAGGAGTAAATTTTTGATGTGGATATATATTTTTTAAGATTGTGACTACAATAGGTTAAGTCATTGAGTATACATTTATTCCCTATAATTTAATCTATTTAAAATTGGCTTGTTATTTTTTTATGTTTTTTAAGTTTGCTAGGGAAAGAAATATATATTTAAGGCTTTAACACAACTTTACCAGTAGCGGTTATTATGCACTTCACTCTCTGCTGGACTTTTAAATGAAAAGGAGCCAAAGTCCAAATAAAACCCTCAAATTCTCTCAACTTTTTTTTCTTCATGTAAACAGATATAGTTGGTTCCAGGCTTTTTACATTTGGATTAACTACCATCACTGAGATGCATCCAGAGGAGAGACATTTATAGTTAGAGTCAGACAGGAAAAGAGGAATCTCATGTTTGAAAAGCCAGACTCACTTTGGTTTAAAAGGACATGAGGAGAGAAGGTGCTGAGATCTGACCCTGAGCAGGAGAGGGAAGGAGCTCCTGTGAGAAGAGGAAGGAAGGATAAAAGGCAAGGAAAAAAAGCAGTATAGAACAGCACATTAAGGTGAGGAGAGAAAAGTGCAGTTCAGAAAGGGGTTTAGACAAAGGAGATAGAGGGAGATTTTCTAATAAGTGAGCAGTGAAGGAAATGATCCTACCGACGGTGGGAGTGTTCCCGGCACTGAGTGACGTGTTTGAGGACAAGGAGGAAGAACTTTCAGCCCGGGCCAGAGGTGCTGATAGAGGGGGGCTGGCATTGGATGCTTTGGGTGGGCTGAAAGGCCGTACCTGAAGGAATCGGGAGGGAAAAAAATCATTTAAAAAAAAAAGAAGAAGAAAAGAGTGCACTTTTAACACCAGGAAAATTTTGCACAATACCTGTACTCAATGTAAACATGTTAAAGTGAGAAAAAAAAATGTCTGGATCATCACATGATTAATTAAATTAATGAAACTATCTACAGTTTCAATAAATAAAAAAATCTAGGAGAGATAAAATAAAGATGTAAGTATCGTGCAGGTAACATGCAGCAACTATTTTTTCCGGCGCCTTAAACCAAAGGCAGCTGTAAAGAAATGTTAAAATTAAAACCAACAGAGAGACACGAAGCATAAGAAGGCTTTTCATGTCACACCTTTCAAAGTGTATAACAGAAACGCCACTGAGAAACACGGGTCAGGCTGAGGTAAAAAGGCCTCGACACTTTTAGAAAAACACTTTACTGCTGGGGAACAGCCACACAACGACAACGTAAAGCTCTACAATCAGAGGAATGGAAATGAAAATCTTAACAGGTTGTCACTTAAAGCGGGAGTGAGTGTCTCTGTTCAACTGCAAAGCACAGGGAAAGGGGCATAATAGAGGCAGTAAAATAGTCATGCTAATGGTAGCTTAAACAATGCAAAGTAGAGTTTGTCTCATTCCCCTCATAGTCCCTGACCGACTTAGTTTAAAATTTGTTGACAAATAGGATTATATGGAAGGCAGCCCAGGGATCTCAATAAGCCTTTTCAGCTAGGATTTGACAAATATACCCCAAACAAAAACTGAGCTGCAACACAGCTGAAAACAGGCAGCGGCACTTGCCAAAAGGAGTATTATTGAGTTGGCTCAAACTTGAAAATGTGTGATTTGTAAAGTCACGCCATTGAAAAATCTGGAAATCTTTTGCTTCATTGCCCAAACTACCAAAGGAGGGGGCACAGAAATACACTCCTGATCAAAATCTTAAGACCAGTTAAAAAAATTGCATGAATTTGTTTTTAAGAAATTGTCTTCTCAAAGATGTTGGTCTGTTGTTCCCATTTCTTTTTTTTCATTTTGAAGCTTTACTTTAAACATTCTTAGGATCCACCATTGCAAAATGAAAATTCATGCACTTTTTTTTTTAAACTGGTCTTGAGATTTTTGATCAGGATTGTATGTGCAGTGGTATGATTACGTACAATTTCATTGATTCCTGTGAGTTTTCCAGTGGGAAGTTTGGGTCTAGAGGAAGGACGAGGTGGTGGAACAAGGGCTCCAGCAGCCAGAGGGGTCGTAGGTCTGTTTGGTACCGGCACTAGACAGAAAAAACACAATCTGGTTAGAGAGTCCGAGTTCATTTAGAGGAACACAAATAAAGGTATATGTTCAGTTGGCTGTTGAATGTTCATGCATTACAAAGTCGTGTTCCAAAAAGAAAGAAGCAAAAAAACTAAATGATGCAATAAAATGAGGAAAATGCATTCCAAAATAAATGTTACCCCAAAAACATCCAAAACCAACTTTGCATTTGATGTAGCAAAAAGAAAAAATAGCATCAGCAAAAGAGAAAGAACAAAAAAAACAAACAGAAAATCAAAACGCACGTCGCTTTCGATTTTCAGGCAAAACCAAATAAAAAACTGCACTTTAAACCTCAGGCATAACAAGGCATGTCTGGTATATCAGCATAACTGTTACCATTAAATACTTTGCTTGTTGTGGCTGCTGCTACTGTCCTATCAGAGAAGACATCAGAGACACAGACGCTGCTGTCCTCTCTGACTGCTGCAGTGGTTGTTTTGCAGAGAGCGTCTGCAGAGTCCTCCGACAGGAAGCGTCTTGACCTGCCAAACCCTGCCTGCACTCTCTGGACCTCTGCTGCAGAAGAACCTGAGCCGTGACGACAAGGCGGGGCAAAGCTATCCCCAAAAGCGATCCACTGGCTCTGGGACCAGGACACTAGGGAGAAGATATCAACAGACTTGGGGGCGTTTGGGGGGCTGGCAGTGGTTGGGCTGTTCATAGGGTCTATAGGCTCAGTGGGCTGGGTGATGGGGGCGCTTCGGGCCCTCTCCTGTGCTGGTTTCAGTCCCTGGGAAGCGTTTTCTGGGGAATCCCAGGGAGAGGTGGTGGATGAAGAGAAAGAGGAGACATCTTTGGACTGCTGGCTCTCTGCCACTGGGGTAGAGTGGCCTTTTTGTGGTACATTGTCAACTGAAGGAAGATATGTGATTGACATTGGCGTTACAAGGAAAAACAAACAAAAAAAAGTGGACCGAATGAATTTATTTTACACTTTTTCACCCAAAGGACATTACAAAACAATCACAACACAGATAATAACTTTAAGCTATTAAAAAAAACAAATTTGGAGTTTTTAAAGGTAAAATACACTCATTGTTAATTTCCAATATAAAGGGAATGGTGAGACATTTGTTATTCATTTAGTAAATATTAGATTTTATAGGTTCAATCTATTGGATTTTAAAGACAAATTAGAAGAACTGATTCCGGGTAAGAATGAGATGTGCTCAGGTTTGTGCTCAAACTGTATTATTGGGGATAAAGTTCTACTTTTAATGCTATTTTGCAATCTTACCTACTTAATTTGCTATACAATCATCTGCCGAAATTCTAACTCTCTATACAAAGTGTACGCTTGCCAAGTGGCCAAATATTCATTCACAGAGTTACTCAGAAATCAGAAAACAATGACATCAACAAGAGTAATTTCAAGCATTCAGGGGCTGAGGTTAGTTAGTCTTTATCTGTGAAGATGTCTGCTGAATGAACTACAACACTGGAAACGGTTATCAGCCCATCGCTGCAGCATTTAGGTAATTGTGGTGTCTCAGGGTTTTAACGCTTTTTTACATGCTTTACAAATGCATTTGCTGCCATTATTATAGAGGTATAATGTGAAGGAAGGTTATGTTGAAATATTATTTCCCGAAGAAGCATTTCCCCCTTTCCTATGTGGCAAAATCCCATATTTGGGTGCTTCAATCCTCCCATCAGCATCTCCTGGAACATTAACTCAATTTTAATCTTTCTATATCCCAACATAAAAAATAAATTAGCATTTGTCCCATACTTTTTTGTGTAAACTGGTTTATTCATACATCTATTTTCAAAGACGAAGGGTAATCTCTGTAAAATCAAGTAACATGCTTTTAGATATACTTCAAAAACTTTAAATCAACGTGTTACTATGTCACTGATTATGTGTCAGGGGGCAGGATATAATGTTATGATGGATTTAAAGAAAAAAAAAAAAGCACTGAAAATATTAAAATCCAGAAAAAATATTACAAAACATGTACAAAAAGTTATTTTTTGAGGAATGCCTCACGCTCAGGTTAATATAAAGGGGCACACACATTTTACCTGGTGCCTCTGGGAGAAAGACCTCAGAGTCATTCATCAGAAAAGATGGAGATGGAGGGATTGGAAAGAACAAAGAAGCAAGGTCTGACAGGGACAGGTGAGAGGAAAATAAAAACAAACAGCAAGTGACTCAAACGCAAACAAATCAAATCAGAACATTGATCTTATATCACAACATTTAAGTACAAATACAATTCAATTAAAATAAAAAATATCTAATTCAGTCATCTTACACTACAGGAGGCCTTTAAAGCCGAGACCTTTGACAGTAATGAGACTTTGTTTGACAACATCGTGCCTGTGGGCTTTATAGCCGACCCGCTGACCTCGACTAGGTGCCAATTAACTGTGGATTATGTTTAACCTGGGTAATGGGTCAGTGCTAATGTCACTCTGTTTAAACGCTGGTGTCAGGCATTTAAAGCATGAGAAACATGTTCAATACTATATGTAACGGGAGGCATATTCAGGGTCTGACTGTTCATTGTTGGTAGAAGTCAGAAAACAGTCCGTGGCTGAAACCTTATATGAATACTGTAAATAGATGAACAATTTAACGGTTGAATTCTGAACAAATATAAAAAGGAACAAAAATGGAAAATTCATTATTCATTATGTATTTTATTCAAGACTTACTGATTTATTTCACTTTGTCATTTATTAAAAGAAACATATCTGCAGTTGGTCGGAGTTTTTTTTTTTTTTTGACCTTTTCTCAATTCTCAATGTTTAAAATTATAGTCTGCCGAACAAACAAAACATAATTAAATTATCAGTTACTATTAAAATTACCATAACCTTGAACTTTTTAACTATAAGAATATGTAACACCTTTTTTTTTTGGTTGTTTTTTTTTTTTGCCAACTTCTCTATTGTATTTAACCACTCATTACACAAGTTCATTTGTAAAAAAAAAAAAAAAAAAAAAAGGATATATGTGGCAACATGTAAAACTGTAATATAATTTTAATCTTGGATCAGTAAAAATATTAAATGGGAGTTCCTTTTAACAACTTTAATTTTAAATGACAGGGAAGAACCGAGAATGTTTAGGTGAAAATCTATTAGGGAACATAGATCTAATAAACAAATTAGAGGGCCTTTGTTTATGCCTGTTCAGGCAATTAACTTTAGCGAAGTAAACTCCAGGTGTGTAGAATTTAGGGTTGTCAAAAGTATCGATACTCAAAAAAGTATCGATACTGAAACGTTGTATCCGGATACAATATTCGTTTTAAAAGTATCGATACAGTGCTACCACCAGTGGCACCTAAGCAGTCATTCATCTAAAGTGCAGAATAGAGGACAATGCACTTTCAGAACACTGTGTGATTGAATAATTCTGTGCACTTTTCAGTTTCAGACTTTTGTTTTGTAAGAGGTGCAGCTGCTGAGAATTACTTTTGTTTCTTAACCGGTTTGGCTAGTGTCATTGCTATGTGTGCAAAGCATAGCCAAGGAAGGAACACTTAATTTTAATTTTAAGTTTTTTATCAAGCTTGCTTAAAATTGTGCAAAGCATACAACCTTTATTGTTTTTATTTATTGTATTTTATTTAGTAATGAAAATATTTCTGTAGAATTTTGAAGTCTTTGTTTTTATCCTTGTGGTATCGAAAATGGTATCGAGTATCGAATATTTTCCTTAGTATCGGTATCGAGTTGAAAAGTTTAGTATCGTGACAACCCTAGTAGAATTACAGCTAAATAGCGAACAAATGAACTTCAAAGAACTAAAAGAAAGCAGAAAGGTTAAGGGGAACATTTACAGTTCTGGTCCTGTAGTGTAAGATGACTGACATACTGTCATAAATGGCGCTAAAGGTTCTGGAATGTGACTTGAAGGAGAAAAAAAAGAGAGACAAAGAATAGAAAAGTCAGAGGAAGACGGTGAGAATCTAAATCAGAGAGTTCTAGATTACCATAAATTGGAAAAAATCGTTCCCAGCAGCTGTCATAAAACAAACTTCTTAGATGTGTCAAGTATTTTTCAGAGCCAAAGTGCCACCAACAGATGAAATGAAACTTCTGGGAATGTTCACGAATGAGCCAGGAACCATCCAGCCTGCCATGAATCTAAACTGCTGTTCTGTTCCAAATTCAACTCTTTCAACCCCGAGTAAAACCTACAGCAGTTAACAAGATCAAAATCCAAGTTCTTCAGACACATCAGATTTCAGATAAGAACTCGGTTGAGTTGTTGAGCTATGACGACAACAATACTTTCTCTGAGGGAATCAAGTTGAAACTTTCACATAAGAACATTGTTCCAGGTGGCAGCATTGTGATGTTTAACAGCAGTAAGCACTTTCTGCAAGGCTGATGCAATTTCAAAACTGCACCATAATTCCTCCAAATTACCATCCAAAGTATGTAACATGACCTAAATAATGTTTAAAGTGCCCCATGCCTCTCTTCCATTAGTGCCTACCCTATTCAGCTCAGGTTGATTCTAAATGTTTATTTCCTGTTTTTATAAGTGCAGCTATAAGTTTTTATAAGAAGAGATCCACAACAAGGTTGTGGGAGATGTAATGAACAATATGAGCCAGAGGGCATGTGACATGACTGCTGCAGCGTTTATGGCCGTTTTTAAACTCAGAATAAAAGTAGGCTTAAAACTTTCTTTTTTGATAAAGCTCATAGTTAGATTGGCTCAGGTAATCCTGAGCTATCTCTATAGTTATGCTGCTATAGGCTTAGACTGCTGGAAGACAAAGAGACCCCTTGTCATCATTCTGCTCCATTCCATCTCTGTTCTCGCATTCTGCAGAATGTGTTAGTTCAATCTCTAACGTTATGCTCTCTCTGCTTTTTCTCATAGTAGCTTCATCTGGTCTGTTCGTGTTTGGCTGTGACACCATCCCGGAGACAAAATATCAGCTTTGCTGCTGTCATCAACACCTCTGTGAATAGATGTTGGGAGTTTGCCCTGATTTTCAAAGTAGTCCTGGTTCTCAAACTAACTGTAATGATTTAATTTAATTGTCTCTATAAAGTGCCTTGAGATGACATATGTTGTGAATGGGTGCTATATAAATAAACTAAATTGAATTGAATTAAAAGAGGAGTCGCTTTGGGCAGTGAGATAGAGAGGAGCAATGGAATATATATAAGAGCTACTCTGTAGCAAGCTAACTTTATCTATTGCTAGCTTCTATCACAACTCCTAAATACAATAAACCCATTTTTAAAATACTTTAACGGTTAAAGATATTATCAAAATATTCTTTGATCAGTGACACCTCCACCTAACAGAATAAAAACCCTTTATTGTAGCGTTTTCAGTATAAATTAGAATAGCTGGAACTGCAAGCAACCTGGCACTAAAAGCAGCAACTATTATATGGAACTGTCAATAACGGAAAAGCCCAAAAAGTGTAGACCCTTAATAAACTGCTCTGATTTAGCAGAAATGGGGCATATCACTATTTAGCGCTGGTGATACCTCATGCTATCCCTAACTAATGCCAGCTTGCTTCCACTAGTGCTTGAACCATAAACCCATTGTTAAATATGCTGCGACTAGTGACACCATCACAGCAGACAGTAGTCAGATTGGCAGAAGCCTAAAAAAAAAGTAGAATCGTACAGAACCGCTCAGTTTTTAGTATTTTGTTAAAATGTCTTGGCTTTTGCTTTAAAGCTTGGATGAACCTGATTTAAAATATACGAAAGAAATGTAAAGAAAAAAAAAACACTTTAATGGGAACCAGAACCAAAGAAAATTCTGCCTTAATAATGATGCAGATTCACTGTGTGATAGTATGCAAGGTCTATTAAAAATAATTTTACCTGCAGTGGATGACATAGAGGAGGAGGATCCAACTCCTGAAGTAGAGCTCAATGGATCCAAAGACAGAAGATCGTTGTTACTTAACCTGTTAAGAGCCGAGGCACAAAGAAACACGGTTAAATCCAATTATAACATGAACGATTAACACTTCTGAATCAGAAAGCATGATGCAAACAATGTAACTCTGATTCTGAACAGACAAAGGAATAAATCATGTTACACTCACTCGAATGGAGTTGACCCTCTGGGCTTTACAAGCTCATCATCTGCAGGGAAACAAGAATAAACAGAAACGCTTTATTTGCATATTTAGAGAGAACTGATTTACTGAATTTAGGAAATATATATATATATATATTAGAGAAACTGGAACGATTTACATTTCCCTCACCTTGAACAACACATAAAAAAATAAACATGACCATACCACCACCTACCACTGAGAGTTAGAGAGACATAGTACAAGTCAAATGTTTGAACACAACCAGACATTAAGGTGGTACCAAACCTTTGACTGGCACTATTTGAGAAACTGTTCAGAACAAATAATTTCTGCCTTAGAAATTAAAAACCTACAAAACCAAATAATACAAAGATTAATAGACCAAGTTCTACTGGGTTTTTAATGTAGTGGAAGCTGTTTGGAAGAGGAGTTTTGGTTGGATTGAGCAACTAAAAACAACAATGCGAGTGCCCTCTTTTTTATTCTGAACCCATTTTAAGTACTACAACAAATCTTAAAGATCCCTTTAAGCAACCTGAGTAGATACAGTTCTAATTTACAGTTTACACACTCTCACTGTGGGCTTTTTCATGGGTGGAATGATTATACAACAAAAATTTAAGACTTGAGCCTATAATAAAGTGGATAGAGCTGTAAAAGTGTTGTTTTACACTGGAAAGACAGAATCAATAAGCTTTTAAACATCAAAAATATACCAGCTATTAAGCAAGAGGGTGGCAGCATCATGATATGGGTCCATTTTGCCGTCAGTGGCTTTGGTGCCTAATTCCAAGTTCTTTCAACTCACAATAAGCTTAAAATGTAACCAAAAAAAGAAAAAAATATCCAACCAAAATTATGCCAGAAGCTTTTTCATGTTGTAAAGTCATTCCACCCTTGAAAAGTTACATTTTAAAGAGATCAGTGAAAGACCAAAACTGATCCGTGACGAGTGGATGCAAACGTCTGACTGGAACTGTACCTACACACCACAGGTAGAAGATCCACCTAAGAAAACCCAAATTTAAAGCCATTCAAGTGAGTTAATTGTCAAAATATAAAACTTTAGGTTTGCAGTGAGATATAAAAAAAATATACATATATATTTATCAGTGATGTTAGCAGGAAGGGGGCGGGGTTTGTTTGGCTGCTGAAGCAGTGTGAAAGGCTCCATGGAGGAGACAGAGATGAGGGTTGTAGGGGGTTGGAGGGAGGCGGGGACGCTTGCCAGTAACTGTAGTTAAAACATACTCACCCTTAGCCTTAGACCTTAAGGTAGATACTCCTGTAAACCCTAAGCGATGCAGAGTTCACATCTTTGAATGCAATTTTTGCAAATTCATCAACTCTTCAAGTTTTTAACTGCAGCAAGTGAATACCTTTTTTATTTTCAAATATATATTGTTATCTTTTCTGAACATTTTAAAAACTTTATAAGACAAAGAAATGTAGAAACTGTTTTTATATGGATGTTTGTAGGAGCTAAAAATACACAGGAAAAAAACATGAATATTTATAAAAATGGCTTATTATGATGCTACAAACTTGATTTAAATGCGTCAAACTCAACCAACTTGAAGAGAAGCGTGTTCATTGAATTTGTAGACATACGCATGTTTTTCCATCAATCCAGACCAAAGTCAATAATCCAACATGTCCTAATGTTTTCTTTCAGCCTGGTTGGAATTCGGACCTGACTTTGAACTTGCCACACAGAGCTTTGCGCTGCAGATGTCGAGGATTTAATGGGTCAAACAAAACAGTCCTGTTGCCTTGTCCTGTGGTACTATTTACAAGACATAGCACCTGTTTTTGTTCTTTTTTTCTATTTATTTCGGAAAATATTCTTCTGTATTCCAAATATTTGGTTGAATCTGACGTTGCTGATCTTTTTTAATTGTGTGCACACACAGTTTCCACGTCACTCACCAGAAACTCAGTCTGGAGGGATTTTGTTGAAACCTTTTGCTATAAAAGTACTTCACCTTTAAACAATGGCCATCATGCAGGACTCTTGTTCTCTAGTCACAAAAAAAACAGAGCCATTTAGCCTATTTTTTTGTGCTTTATTTAAAAGGAGAAGTCAAAAGAACAACTCATGGTAATTTGTGTTGCCTTAAGTTTAGTGTAATCAAACTATTGTGTATATTCACAGAGCAGCGTTGCTCCTATATTTATGCGGTGCAGCTGTTTCTCTTTGTTTTATACATCTAAAAAGTTTAAATTCTTGCACCATTTTGCAAAAGGTGAAAGATAAGTCTTGACTTGTCAAAACATCCAGCTGATTAAACAGTTAGTCTGATTTGTACCAGCGGGAGAAAAACATCCCTCATGCCTGACATTTATATAAGAAGGGAGCACTTATTTACTTTTTCTTGAGATATGTTGGTGTTGGCTTGATTTTCTGGAGTTTTTTTTTTTTCTAGAAAAAAAAACTTATTTAAGAGCAACCAGGGCCAACAAAACTGTAGCCACAGTTGTTCTTCTCATTCCAACAACACAAAGACTTAAAAAAAAAAAAAAAAAAAAAAAAAAAAAAAAGGGGGGGGGGGTTACTTACTGGACTGGTTCCTCCGCATTTGCCCCTAAAAAAGGAGAATATAAAAAAGTAAAAATTAATATCAAAAGAAAGATAATAAAGAGTTGGTTTGCAAAAGTAATCATACCCTTTGAACTTGAAAACTGTGGTGTGCATGTATATATTCAGCCCTCTTTCCGGGCATCTACAGGTGTGAGTCTTGGCGTTTGTCTTTAACAGATTTGCACATCTAGAAAATGAAATCTCTTCCCGTCCTTCTAAAGTCAACAGCTCAAACTCCCTCAGAATGGACAAATGCAGCGTGTTCCTTCACATTATGCCACATATGACCAATTTGATTTTGATCTAGGGCTTTAACTAGGCCAATCTAACACATGAACCCATCTACACTAGCTGTTTGTTCAGAGTCCTTCTATAGGCATATGAACCTGTATTTATTTCCCAATATTTAGCTCAATCTATCTTCTCTGTTTCTTTCTGGAGCAGTGGTTAGTGTGCACGACCCATGTGCGGAGGCCTTGATCCTCAACGCGGCCGATCCGGGTTCGAATCCGGCCTGTGCCGCATGTCTCTCCCTCTCTCTCATACCCCCTTTCCTGTCAACCTACTGTCAGAAAAACGAGCCACTAGTGCCATAAAAACAAAAGAAAAATTAATAAATAAATAAAGAGAGAAATCTGACCACCCACCTCAGAAGGCCTGCTTTGTATTTGTAAAAAGTGGACAACTACCAAAATTTAAAAATACATAGCTGTAACATGATAAATTTGGAAAAGTTTAATAGGGTATGAATACTTTAACAAAGTCTTGTGCAGTTGTCATTTGACAAAACATGAGAGAGAAGTGATCACTTCCCCACTTGGGAGAGCCAATGCTTTTTTTAAAAGCTGATATGTTGTACTTTAAGGGTCACTGATTTGCTCTCAGGAGCCACTTGTTAAAGATAAAACTACTTATTTAAAATATTTTGTCCTTAAAATACTTATCGAGTTTCAGTATCATATATCAAGGCATAACACTTATAAAATAGGCTAAGGTTCTGAACGGCTGCATGAATTATTCCCTGGTGGCTGTGCTAAAGTTTCCACTTTGGCATTAAAGACAGTAAATCACAGGACTGCTCTGGACTCGCACATACCAGGCATTAAACCTAGGGTGAAGAATTCGGCAGCTCAAAACAGTGTGTTTAAGCCGGGACTACGATCAGTCGGGGACAATGGAGAGCGTGGCCGACACTTCGCCGGCTTCCCTCACCGAGTCGTTTTTTTCCCCAGACATAAATCTGCCACGTCCTACAGATACGTGAGGTAGACTCTTGGGACCGGCCAAACCAAGAGCAACTTCAGTTTCAATAAAAAACCCATTTCTTACAAGAAGAAAGGTTAGAGAAGCTGTCAGGGGAGGAGGGGAGAAAAAGAAACAAAAATGGGTTTAAGGAACACAGCAAAACGTTTAACCACCGTAGAGCTGCGAGGCCAGGGCTTAGTCCCACAGGCGCTAAGCGGCAAATGGGTTCAATTACAGCTCTTGTTGGCCACACAAACACACACACACACTCTCTCCCGCGCTCACTCACACGACTTCCATCACTGTTTTAATAAAGGGAGCGCCACGGAGGGAGAAGCAAACAGGAGAAGAAATGAAAAGGACAGAAAAATGAGCAGTGAGGGGGGAAAAGAAAAAAAAAAAACAAGAAAAAACAAAACAAAAACAGATCTCAATAATTCACGCCAGATGAAGCGACTGTGCGCACCACCTTGGATGAAAGTTTTTGCTTTAATACGAAATGTCTCTGTGGATCTAAAACGGGAAGAAACCAGAAAAAGAGAAGAGAAAGACGCAGCGAATGTGATAATAGTATTATTGTATCAATCGGCTGTATTTAAAAGTATTAATTTTTTTTAAATACGGTACCAAAAAAATATTGTTGATAAAAAAAATGCTTATTTTTAACGCTAAAATAGAAAATAATTTACTGGAAAAAAATATATAAATATTTATAAAAAATACATATGCAAAAAAAAATGTAATAAAAAATCGTCCCGATCTTGGTTTGCTATGATGATCTTCCTATCAGGTTTATAATTCATAAGTTATCTAATGCTTTAACAAACCAAACTCTCCCCTTTTTCTGCACATGAACAGATCAGCCTACCTGGATGAACCGTTTTGACTTCATTATAACTCTTAAAGGTAGGAACAAATTCTTTGATGAATAAATTATCTGGTTAATTTCATAGTTACCTTTGAGTTCAAATTACTTCTTTAAAGAACAAGCTGATAATCTGTTCTCTGTGTTACGCAATATAACTCTGGCCATTTTGTCTCGATTGGCTCTGAGTGTTAGATCTGCAGGTACATGGGTGGAAAACACGGATTTGATTTTTCCTTTTTGTTAAGGGCAGTGAAAAAACGAACACCTTATTCCACAAATTCATCAACAAACAGAATTCATTGTAATATAAAGGCTGGGTTAACCATGTAATTCCTTTTAAGGTGGGATTGAAGAGTACTACCCTTATTCACAAACCAGCCGCAATTAAATTTTCATCTAATATATGGTCAATCGATTAAAAAAACTATAGGAAAAAACTGAACTACATTTTTTTTTATATAATTGGGATTGATGATTGACAATCCAAAGACTAAACTATTGATTCTTAAAAGAAAGAACTCTTACAATTTTTAGACATTAAAAACACATCAACCAAATCTGATGTACTTTACTGAAGTTTAATAAAAGCTTGATAAACATTTGCTTTGAATGATAGGCCTGATAATTACCTTAAAATAACAGTCTGTATAAGAACTTTAGGTATATTTCCTTGGTCTTTGATGATTTGATTTTGAGGCAAATAAATAAGTAGAAATAATTGGTCAATATCAGCAGCTAAGACCTTAAAGACAACTGGCCAGAGCCTGATCTGTTCATCTCAAGCAAAAATCTTAAATCTCTGTTAAGTTTTCATAAAACCACAGCAGAGTTCTTTTTGAAGCAGGTGGCTATACACAAAACTGAAAAAAAAAAGGAAAGCAAACAAATAGAAAGGAGAAAAAAAAACAGGTTAAGGAGGAGACGAAGACCTTAATTTAGTGATCCGTCAGTGACTGTTTGCTGCCCCACAACAACAAAAACAGCTCAGCGCACGCAGACAAACTAACACTTCCGCTGCAATGTTTGCAAACAAGCAGTGGCAGCTTTAAATTTTAATGACTCCAGCTATTTTCGTCGAGGAGCAGAGAGTAATTCAGAGACTGAGTTAAAGAAGAGGACAAGGAGCTGAATGAGGAGATGCCCGAGTGAAGTCATGGGTGGAACAAAGTGCATAAAAGCAGAGCTGAGTGAATGTTTGGGAGCACGAGGTAAAGGCCAACAATATCAGGAGTGAAACTGATCTCAAGTTCATAGGAGTAAGAAAATAAAAAGGAGATGATTTACACTAAACCATATTCAGGGGAAAAACAAATCATGGACTAAGTGTGAACAGGTTATTTAGTAAATTGGAAGCAGATTTAATAAATTATGTAAGACGTATAACTTCTAACCTCGAACAAAATGCATTAGAAAAACCTGAACTGAGCTTAAATGCTATTCCCAGGCTCCCCAGCAGATTTTAGGTGTTCCCCTAATGCCCTCTAGTGTTACACAGGCAGAGCTGACCTCTGAAAACAAACATCAACGGGTTGGTTTCAGGCAGCGTTTAGTGTTGTTTTAGCATGTTTCTGTAAAGCATACCGAGGTCGAAGGCGACAGGATGATGTTTCCAATGGAGGCTTTGAGCTCATCGATGTTCGCTCGGGTCTGATGCGTACCATTGTTAGGCTGGACGGGTTTGATCTGCACATGGAACTTCCTGGGCTCGTCTTCGTCCTCCGAATCGCTGGACGAATAGAAGGAATTGTCTTTGGGATGTGAGGAGATGTGTTAAGGAAAAATTAAGTCGTAAAATGAACTCTGCAGATCAAACCCGCAGCATTAATGTAGAATCAGGAGGCATAAAAAAGGATATCATTCTCATTCACTTCCGGTCTGATACAGAAGCCCTCAGCATCAACTTGGGGAACATTCTACAACAACACAAGAAATAAAAACAATAATTAAAAAGGGTCCCTTCTATAATTAAACAATAAGTGTGAATAATCAATAAACCAATGCAAACTTTTGTTTTAACCAATAAAAACAGCTTTGTTTTTCCCTACAATAGATAATTACTGTTTATTGAGCATTTTATTTAAAGAATCAAAAACCTCTTTAGTTGGCCAAAGTCTTCTTCTGAAATTTACTTTAGAAAAATATTGTGAGTGCTAAAAAAAAAAAAGTTGAGCTTTTAATTACTTATTTTATTCAGAGAGCTATATAAAATGTATCCTTAAAAAAATTTTACCAAAATTTTAAAGTGATTGTTTTTTCCTTCCTGCTCAACGAAAACTTAAGAATTTAGGGATTTTAAGCTGATTAGACAATTAATTTAGCAAGTACACCGTGTAACAAAATCTTTAACTCTGAAAAAAACAAAACAAAACAAAAAAACAAACAAAAAAATCATAAATCAATAAATCGTTTCTAACCTTTTTGATTTTTGCATATACAGTTGTAAAAATTTAAAAATTCTTATATTCTGGACGACAAGAATGGGCCTCCACTTATTTTTACTTAGTAAAAATTTTTTACCCAATTTCTTGAAATTTCGAAATAAAAATTCTTTATAATTAAACAATCATGCATATGTAAAACGTTACCAATACAACCTTTTGAAGTTTAGTAGGCAAGATTTACAGCGTTCAGTTTTTTTTATAACTTTTTTATTAAACAAATGTTTAAACCTCTACCCTAAAAATATCCAGTGAATCTCAAACATAAAGCCTTCATTTTGTAATGTAATCTTCTGTAAACGCAAAATGATTCAGTTTCTTAAATTGTGCATCAAATTTCAACAAGAAAATGTTGAAAACTCCAGATTATCTTGTAAAGATTTAGAATTATTTCTAAACTACAGATGTTGCTTTTCTAATTCAAGCTAAACAAGTTTAAGCAAAAAATGTTATACAGAAGGCAAATAATCTGTATCAGCTTATAATTCTGAGTTTATGCAGGTTTCAAGTCTTTTAATGTAGAAGAATCATTAAGTAATGGCTCAAAATTTCTTTAAACTATTATAATGATAAAAACTTTTTGAATTTTACTCCTACATAGGGTGACAAATTAAATGGATACACAAAAAAAACAGATGATTATCCATATCATAGTGCTGGAACTTAATGTCTTGATTCATCCACAAAAACATTCATGAAACCAAAAAAAAAAAAAAAATAAATGTAATATCTAAACATAAAACCCACAGAGTATAAATCTTATTGACTTTTAAATAACATTTATTACCCATAAATACTCTATATATATATATATATATATGGATTTTTTTATTAACTGGGAAAGCTTTTTGGGGATGTTTTCTATAATTCTGAAATGTATATCAAAATGTTATTAGCATATACATATATACTGTTACTGCATGATGGCTAGCAGGTGTAAGCTTTCTAGCTTCCTTACAGCATTCTGGATGTCTATGGAGCCAAAATATCCTGGAGGAGCACCATTGGCAGTGTTCTGTGCGTACAAACAGAGAAACGAATGAATGAATGAGCAAATGTACAAAACAAACAGGAGAGAACCGAGAAGGGGGGGAAAAAAGAGGGAAGTGCAGAGTAACACATGGCAGAAGAAAAAGAACAATGGTCCGGTCCGCCTCCTGCAGTTTGACATCAAAATAACAGACGTCGCCGACATGAAACAGATCCAAAGGAAATTCAAGAAGATCAACCATGCAGCTAATGTCTGTTTTAATAAACTTTATACTCACAGCAGCTTCGACTTCTGTCGACTCCCTGGAAAACAAAAAACCCTCGTTGACATTAAATATAGTACAACAAAATAAACAAAACTGTGCTGTGAAGTTATGTCCAAACTCACGTAGAGTCTGTGTCCTTGTCTTTCCTTCGGCCTGGGATACCAAACGTTTTCCTCTTTCTTGGTTTGGCACCTTAAAACAAAACAAAGCATTTTAAGAAGGACAGAGTGAACTATATCTGTTCTTCCCCACATATTTTCTTTTTTTCCCCCTCTTTTTTGCTTTAACTGAGTAACTTGGCAATGAAAATGAATGCTTAAATCCTCAAGGTAAAGCTCTACCTTCTGTTGCAATGGCTGTGTTGCATTCCTCAAATTCGATTGGTCCTAATGAGACAAAAAAAAAAAAGATTTAGGTTCATTTGGCACAAGAAGGGTCAATGCCCACTACTGTGACTGCTATGAATGTACATCACGCAATAATCTCACACGCATCACTAACACACACAAAACATGAAGTGCAGCATGCCATGCAGAATGTGTACGCAAACAGAGCACGGCTGATCCCACAGGGCAGACAGGGTCAATAGCAAGAGTCAACTGTGCGTCTGGTGGCGCTCAGAGATGTCGCAGTCCCTCCTGGTGACAAAGTATGACGCAACTCAACAGTTTTCCTTCGAGAGACACATACACACACACACACACCTCCCCTTCTCCAAAACCCCAGTTTAATTCAAAAATACTCTATTTTTCCTGATGTGAAATAAAAGTCTTCCACCTGGAAGTTGACAGGATCAGAAATGAATTTGGGATGCCTCTCCACCAGAAAAAAAAGAGTTACTAAATAAACCAAAGGTGCCCGCAAAACAATGTATGCCGCCTAAACACCTTCCTGCTGATTCACACTTTGACTGGGCCATTAAAACACATGAAATTGATTTAAACCGTTTGATTTCAGCTCTGTACTGCACATTATGAGTAGTGTTGCGCTGATGCCATTTTTTGGCCCCGATACCGATACCAGATACCTGGCCGATACCGATACCATAATAATGTAAAATAATTGCCATCATGGCTTTGTCAAGCTGCTGCCTACCTTTGTGAAGCAGGAAAAAATCTAATACAAAGTGAATCCAGTAGAACTTTTTATTGCCTACCAGGAGTGGGTGACAATAGTTAAACTTATGGCTCTCAAAATGGTATCGGTGCCATATTTGTTGGTACTCGCCGATACCGATACCACCATTTTAGGGCAGTATCGGGGCCCCATCCGATACTGGTATCGGTGCAACACTAATTACGAGCCAATTTTCTTTTGCAGTATCTCCCAGAATGGAATGCCCCAGTGTTTAGCTCTGTCCCTCTTTCCGTTATCCCTGAAAAGCCTTTTTCTCAGGGTGGCTGTGGTGTGCTGAGGGGACATGCATAGTTTACCTTCTATCATGCATAGTATCTGGCATTTTGGTCCAAAAGTTTATTTTTGGCTCCATCTGAGCTTTCACATGCTTGCTGCATCCCCTACCTGGATTAAAGCAAACTTCAAACACGACTCTCTGAATGCACAACTGTTAGCTGCCCTGTTTGCAGACTTTTCCACCCGAGCTGTGGATATCTGCAGCTCCTCCATTAGCAATGGCCTTTTGGTTGATTCGTAGCTCTTGCCTGACTAGTTGGTTCAGGTGGACGACCATGTCCTAGTAGGTCTGCTATTGAGTTATACTCTTTCCATTTATAAAAGGTGGATTGCACGGTGTTGTATGAAAGATTTCAGGGACAAACTTCTCTGCCACTGAACCTCTGATCTGTCTGGTGTTTTCCTTAAGTTCATAAATGGTGTTTGTTTTCTAATTCCAGATCTAACTTGAAAGGCTTCAATGTCAGCTTAATATTATGTTAGAATGATCTGTTTCAAATCTAGACCAGTGATCCTCAACAGGCCAGAGATGCAGATCATTAACCAGGTATTTCTTTGAAGCGGTTGGTAAGTTTTACATTTTTTTAGCATATATTTTATTTTTTTTTATTCTGGTAATGCTGAACTTATTTTGAATATAACAAAATTAAGATATGTGAAGTAAATTATTCTAGGTTTACTTTATGGAAATATTTCTTTATTTTCTTTTTCGTTGCTTCTCAAAATCACAGGGCTTTTTAAATCCTGAATATAATTTTGACACTTGTTCACCAGGGTTATTTTTACTTTCCCTGAGGTTTGTTCCAAACATTATTCTATAGCATAAAATACCATAAAATTATTGTTGTCATTTGAGAAGAACATAAAGGTTCAAGGAATATGGCTGCTTTTTAAAGGGACCACGTAACAAAAAAGAAAGACATGTCTAGCTAATAGCTAGTGTACAACCAGCCGTGAACCTTTTCTAGCAAAGAATAACACTTCTTTTGCTTACTTGGATAAATCAATCAGCAGATGAGAAAACTGCCAAAAACAACTAGGTTTACACTTGATTTGTTGCTCATCAATAATGCAAGTTTGCCCCTGTGGTGCTGCTCCTCCGTCGTCACGCTTCATGTGTCATTTCAGACAGATTCACTGAGGCTCTTCATGGGGCGGAGGCACAAAGGGCTCACACAGTTTTCACAAACAGAAAACCGGAGGCACGACATGCAATGTGGATACGGGTCAGTCAGGTAAAATCCAGAAGAATACTAGAGACTGTGCATCCAGATGTACAGTCTTCATCAACTACAGACACACAGATATGTTGCATGCTCTAGAAGATGAGCTGCAGTGGGTGACACAGGGAGTGATGGAGAGACAGGACGATGGGGCAGGACCCTCTGGCGTTTTTTTCTTTTTTTTTTCCGATACACTAACATGGCTTGACCTGAAAACAACAAAGCTAATGATATTTTAACTCAAAATGTATACAGCACTACGGGGCCGATGTGCTCTCCCCAGAAGAAGCCGGTAGCGAGCAGAATTGACGCATTGTCTGTCGTGCGCAGGGCCGAGTGAAGCGCAGGGGAGCAGTGAGTCACGAGAGGCACGCATCACGGCAAGTGAAGTGGATAAAGTACACCGATGACCGATTTACTCTACTGGGCAATGTCAGGCCCTTCTCATCGCTGGCAAGTACAACAGGGCAGCAACAGCTGACAGAGCAGGGTTAGCCTGATTGAAACAGACTCATTATGCACCCCTTCATTGTTTGGTCATAGGTTAAAATTTTCCCTTTTCTTTTAAGAGAAAAACTGGCTTTCTTCTTACAAAGATACAAAAGGACCAAAGAGGATCTTAAAAGTGCAAGAATTTCTGCAAACTGAAAGTTTCTGATCCAAGCGATGCCATTGTTGAGTCATCGAGCTGCTGGAACATCAACCTCCACCTCAGATTCAAGTCTTCTGCAGCCTAGAACTGGCTTTATTTCAGAATCTCTTTATCTACCTTCTCTCTGTAAAATATTCCCACAGCATGATGCTGCCACCACCTTATTTCCCCCATGCGCATGATGTAGTCAGGGTATCATTTAATATTAGTATTTGGTCCCAAACTGCAGTCTACATGCAAGCTCAAAGTAATTAATTTCAATCTCATCCAACCAGATGACTTAATCAAAGGCCCTCAGCATGATTCTGCCACCACTGTGTATGCTGTTTATTTTCTGTCACACATCTAAGTTTTCGGGGAGGCAAAAAAGAAAAAAAAAAAGAAAAACAGGACTCATTACAGGCCAAGGTTTCATCCAACCTGAAATGTGGATCAGATTATGCACCCAACAGCAACACAAAATGATCAGAACAATATTTTGGTTGTCTCTTCGACCAGTGACGTCCTGTGTCTTAACAAGAGTATCAAATGTGATACCACAGGCGCGTGAACGACTGGAAAATCAATGTCAGGACCCGGCAGAGAAGGAACTCTTTTCTTTCTGACATCTGACAATATTTATGCACACATACGGCAAGGAAAGTCCAAACAGCACACGTAAATATTACCCAAATCTGGACAGACATTAGGAACTGTTTAAGCATCTCCAAACAGAGAGACAACTGTGTTTATACAGGGGAGGATGGGCCCTTTCTTTCTACTCTCTGTGAGGGAAGCATGCAGTCACGCATGAGTGGAAAATGGTTTTTTAAATTGCATATGCTTCACATGGCACAGGGAGCAGGAGAGAAGGGCGGGTCGGGGAGAGCTTGCGTGTCTGGCCCTCTGCCAGTTGACAGCTCAGCTGGATATCGTTGAACAGTACGACCCCCCCACCCCCACCCTCTCTGCCTCGCAGCGTGTCACTTTAGGATTGTTTCCGCAATAGAAAGTTTATTCAACCCCTCTCTCTCTCTGAAAAGGCCCCGGACTGGCCAACCGTTCAGCTATTTCGTCAGGGGACGGGGAGGTTATTTCTCTTGACAGGACCGGAGCTGCTGTGCAATCCCTAATGAACAGCTTGATATGGGAGGAATTTTCAGACCATTTTTTCAACCTCAATTAATTCCTCTGTCCAAACAAATGAGAGCCACCACTTGTTGGTGGAAGTGTTTGGACACAGGGGTCAGCGTTTATGTACACACAAACACGGCGGAGGTGAAGCCTCTGTGCCTGTGACCTGACGTAATGTAGTACAAGAATGGGAACGGGCAGGGTCATATTTATAACAGGAGACGGTTCAGAGACACAGTGAAATAATGTACAGGCACTACGCAAAAAAAGGGGAAGGTGACCGGCGAGCCAAAGAAAAGCGACATGTATTCCTTTGATTATCGTGGCATGGAGACGTTTACACAAGAGTCATTGTTGAACTCTGACCTGCTCAAAAAGTTGGTTATGCCTGCTTAACCTGTGAGTGTGTCACATGCTCACTGTAATGCCAAGCCGGCTTTCCTTTACAGCAGATTACTATGATTGCCTCTGATGGCCTGCTCTAATGTCTAATTGCCCCTCTCTATACACCCCTCCCATTAGGAAAAGGCAGGATCAGGCAGAAAACCTACAACACTGCACAGACAAGGAGAAACTTTAGGTTCAAACCTTGCAGGAGCTTACCTGGCCTCTCTTTTCCTGTTCCTTTGCTCTCGGCCAGCTTTTGTATTAAGCTCTCTTCTGAAGTGTTCTCAATGTTCCTCACAAATTCCTTGTGCAGCTATAGAGAAAGAAAAAAACAAGCATTAAATGATGGCTTATTGAGGAAGCATGGGAAAACTGGTTCAGTAACAACGTTATGCACTTCAAAAGGAACATAGACAAAACCTTCCTATACCACAAATACTTTGCCTGACTTAAAATTAATGGCATAAGAATTATCAAACCCACACAAACAATGCCAAAGGTGTTTCCTAAAGGATCAAAGGAAGGATACTTTAGGACTTGCTCTATTCACCAACAAGGCAAATAGAGCCAAACATTTACATGTTATCCTATTTGAAAGGTGCGTTTAGGAGGAAATTAATAGTCGTCAATGTTTCCAGCTATGTGAATGACAGGAATTGACCGACTAGATGGAAGGGACACTACGAATGGGTGCTAATGGACGTGCTAATAGACAGAAGCAACATTTTTTCTGGAGTTTAACGGTCTGGTATTTTCTTTCAAAGGTTGGCGTTGTGTTAACCAATGAGGAGCTGGATATGGTTGAGATGAAACCTCATACTGAAGCTCACCAGAAAGTGATCCACACTCCGACAGGAGAGGTCCTGATATGAGGTCCTGGACAGATGTAGGCAACACTGAAACCATCATCCAGCCGCAGCTCCTGGAGCAGGTGATGATACTGGCAGGACACCAGGAACGCGCCCAGTAACTAATCCATATCTCACCAATCTTACCATTTTCTCCTGGAATCTGGTCATTTTATGGTGGTTTATTTTTTAAGAAGCAAAAACAACCCTACTGCCAAAAGACGTGTTGCTACCAAGGATTTAAATGTATTTTCTATAATCTACTCAGTCTAATGTAATGAAATACGATTACCAGTCCTCATTAGATAACATCTAGCAGCAGGAGGTCCACATAACTACTTTCTGGGCCAAATGCCCCCAACAGCACAGTTTTATATAAAACGTTAATAAAACATATCAATCTGAAGACAACAAAGCCAGTTTAATATTTTTTTCCATGACTGTATGTTGGAATCACAGTAGACCAACTGCTGTCCCCTCGGGTTTTTTTTTTTTTTTAAATACAGCTATAGCTATATTTCTATGATCCTGACCCATTATGGTCTTATAGAACTGAGCTTTGGATCTTAATGGGGTAAAAATTAAAGAGAGAAGGTGCCTTTGGCTAGAAAAACGAACAAAGAACAAAACAGATTTTGTTTGTAGATATTCACAGATATTTCCTCTTTTATTTTTTTTCCTTTACATATGAGCAGATTCCATCTTGTTTCTTTTTTTGTGATTTCTTTACACGTTTAGCATAAGCACACTTGATAGAAGGAGGCTTTTCTGTTTATTTTCATGCGAGGCCATACTGATCTTTGCAGTTAGAGCACTGTGTCAGAGGTTGTCTTTGTTACTGCCATGGATACCCTTTGGGCAGTCTCACACAAAGGTTAGTGTTTGTTTGCATGTGTGCTTTTAAGTTTAGTGAGGGGGAAGTGAAAGAGACGTGTACGCATCGAGATAAAGACGAGAGGCTGACTGTCGCATCTCAACAAACCATTTAGATGTGCGTGATACTCTAAGCGCAAGCGAGTGGCTTCTCCATCAAACCAAGACGCATTCAAACCAGTGTGTGTGTGTGTGTGTGTGTGTGCAGCTCCCCTATCCCCCCCTCCCCCCTCCCTTCCTCCTCCTGGGCCCCAGCGGTGAGGTGGAGTGCATTAGCCTTCTATGCCCCTGCCTAGTAGCAGAGGATGAAGGGGGGAGATGTTGGTGATGGGCGGTGCGGGTGCGGTGGGAAGGAGTTTGCCGTGGCGAGGAAGTGTGCTCGGTGCGGCACCTGCAATCCGCCAGGTGCTGCTAGGATGGTTCATGTCGCTAACGTCCACAGCGTGTCTGCCCGGCTCTTCTCACACGTCGATGCAAACAAACAAACAAAAGGAACAAAACAAAAAAAGCTCCTCCATGTCTACACTGAGACTTTCCCCCACAAGCTTGAAAACATGCGTCTGCCCCCGAGGTACCCTCGCTCACAGACAAACGCTCACTTATAAAAACAAACACAACACGCACAGCGGCGGACGCACCTGCTTCTACAGTGAGCCGCTTCATCGCTACCTCTTTCAGCATCCATTGCAGCACACTTCTGACAACTCAAGAGCTTTAAAAAGGTCCTGCTCTTTCTCTCCTACATTGAGCATCCAGACCTACAGAGCTACCCCCCCGCCAAAAAAAGATGACTGATAAGAAGCTTACCAAGCACAGTTACTTTGGTTTGGTTAAACGACTGCAGTCACTCGTCAATGACAGCTTAAGAACTCAAAGTAGCTTAGCATTAAACCCTACTAATGGAGAATGATCAAACAAACACACAAACAAACAAACAGGCTTTGCTGGTGTCCCCGCTACACACACAACCCACAGTCACTCGGCCAGAAACTTTTCATCAGAGAAAAAGTCTTACCTATTTCCTTTTAAAACTCTGTTTTTTCAAACTTTATTTACTGCCAAATCTTTTTGACATTTTTTCAACATATTAGAACCAGAAACGTCCGTGTTAATAATAGGATTAGAAATGGTTAATTGGAAGGAAAGAATTACAGCTGAAGGAAGGCATTCCCACAGCATGATGCTGCCGCTACCAGGTACATCCTTTATTGGCTGAAAAAGCAAAGTAGCAGCCATACGCTGTAAACAGAATGTAAAAAAACTGAAGTCGGTTGATCTTCAGCCAGAAACGGAGAACTAAAATACACCACTTGTGTCTGATCTGTTGTTTCTTGGGTTTGTTTGTTTGTTTTTTTTCCTGGTGCACGGGCGTCCCTTTACTCACCACATGACTCACGAATATTAATGCAGGAGCATGTACTGGAATTCCTCCAGAAGAAACAAGCAGCCCTACAGCTCCATTTAGCCCCAAAATGTCTGCCGAATGTTTCTAGATGAACTTATATGATTATTTTTTTATCGGGTACAATTAAATAGCTTATCCTTAGCTAACTATATTTTCAGCAGTTGAAGAATTCTGGTACCAAAATAGTCTCTTTCATTTTTAATCTACTGTAGAGAAAGAAATGGTAAACAACAATAGACTGTCTTCATTTTTTAAAGGTTGGTAGTTTTAGGTTATTAAAAAACTGAAAAAGTGCAGGCACCTCTTTTCTTTATTTGGTGTTTTACTCTAAATAAATTAGTTTGGTTGTACTACTTTGAATGTAACATTAAAAAAAAGCCACAGCATGTTTGATAATGTTAGTGCTTTTATTTTTTTGGTCAGTCGGAAATAAACAAATAGACTAATCTTATAGGATTGCTTTAAATTCAGGTTTGCCATCCCAAGATTTTTAACAGCCTTGCTAGATATTTTGATACCACAGCCATTAATACATTGTAAAAATATGCTACCGATGAAACAAATATGACATTTCTATCGTACACGAAGTAGCTGGACATCTTAAAGGTTTAAATGAGATGTAAAAAAAAAAAAGAGAAAACTTTTGAATTGGGATGATAGGAAAATAGAGCTTCAATCAAATGTGTTTCCAAAAGTGATGTTCCCCCCTGAGGTCTTTGATTTCAGCACTAAAGGTAAAAACTGCGGCTGGTAGACGTCTTCTTTGGTGTAAGAAATATTATCGAATAATACAATACTTTATTTTAGTTGGATTTGAATTAAAGTTAATGTCCTGTTAAAGTGAAGTTCCTACAAAACAACGTATGGTTTAGGTATCCGTTTACAGGAAACATTCAGTAAATAAGGAAAGTTTAGGACAGAAAAAAAAAGATATTGTAAATGTTTCACTAAGCATTAGTTATTTTTTCTTTCACAGAAACTTTAATTATAGTTTTTATACAAAAATTAAAGATCGGAGGATCAGAACTTCACAGAAACAAAACAAAAATTATCTATTACAAGAAAAACAAAAACTTACTTATAATCAAATGACAAAACTAACAACCATTAACTTTATTATAACTAAATTAAAAATAACTACTGAAATGTCCACACATACTCTCACAATTAACAGCAAATAAATCATCTATCTTGGGCTGAGGGACCTGCCAGGTGAGATTTTATTTAAAGGTACGATATCGCCCTCTACAGGCAATAAAAATAGAGCTGCTACAAACTAATGAAGGCAGGCCAGCAGAATGCAGGAAGTCCAAAGGTATTATCAACATTTAACTAAAATCGCTAAATAAACAAGAAAAGAAATTATCCAGATAATATCAAAAAGTGATTAAAGGAGCTCTGACTGAGGTTTAAAAACCTTTCCAGCTGCACCTGATATCATTTCAAGCCTTTTTCCACAGAGGACGAAGCCAAAGCAGGACGTTCATCAATCAGACACAGTATCCGGTGAGCATTTGGTTTTTTTACGAGACCTTGATGGTCTAAAACTTAAGATTTGATCAGCCCTCTAAAAGATGAATGGATCAATCTCCTTGTTTCCTGTTTAACTATTCCTTGCTAAACGATCAAGTGGATCACTGAGTGGCTCAGAAACACTCACCTCTCCAATCTGAATGTGTGTTTCCTCCACAGATTGCGAGTATGACTGGATGATCTGCTTCATGTGGATAATGTGGTTTTCCTCAATGTCTTGGAATCTCTGTAACAAACATCAATAATATATCGTTTAGGAGCGCCACTGCAACAAATCAAATCTCTTTAAAAAATAAAACAAATTAAATGCATACCATCAATTTAACATCACATTATCGAGAAGACAAGGAGACAGAAAAACAAGAGCAAAGAGAAGACAAAGAGGAAAATCTCCTTGCTTCTAATTTCCTTATGTGCGACTGTCTGGGTGGTCTGAGGCACATGTAAGTCCCTTCCACAAGATGTCAATTATGATCATGTTAGGCGCTGATGGGAATTCATTTTAGGCATTTTTACTGCAGCGCTGTAATGAGATCACAGGCTTAAAAGCTGCTATTGAAATCTGGGTTTTTGAGGTAAACTGAGAAGCATGAGCACAAAGATTCATGAGGAGGAAAATCCCACTGTTAAGGGGAGATTAGCTCTTAATAATCAGAAACCCCCCAGAAAGAGAGCCTCTTACATCTGGCTGTGGAAATACGCCCACGGTGTATAAGTATTCGTACACTGAACTTTTTTTTTTTTTTTTACATTATATTAAGTTACATGTTACGTTTATTCTGTTAAAATCACAAACTTCTATGTTTAAACAAGGTTAAGCTGTACATTTATGAAAGATATACGGTTTTCATGTTTTGTTCGTGGAGAAATGAAAATCTGAGAAGTGTGGAGTGGATTTACCAGTTCAAGTCTTTTAGGGAAATCCAATCTGGCTTTGCACATCTACAAACTAAAACTTTGCCTGTTAATTTTTTTTTGCTATAGACCAGTCAATTTTCCTATAGATTTTCACTCAGATTTATGTCTGGACTTTGACTGGGCCATTTTAACTCATGGCTGCACAGTGGGAAACATGTTTGGTGATTTTTTAAAGCCTGGCTAAACGGCGCTCTCATCAAGGACTGTGCACACTGCTACGTTTAGAACAATCCAGATGTGGTCTTTTCTCATAAATAAATCATTACTTTAAAAACAGAAGGGTAAGACAACTATAAATGTAAGGTATACATTTTACACATTAATTAAAGTCACATTTTTTACAGATTATATCCTTTAAAAAAATATCAAAGGTGGTTTACCTCCTTGTGGTTTTGAATAAGGCGAATTTGCTTGATAAGAAATTATGTTTTTGAAAGGGAAAACAGACATTTCTGGTGTGTGGAGCATTTCTTCTCTCCATCACTGCCTTTCCACTGAGTGTTTCTGAAGAACACTTAGCAAGTGTCTGCATTAAGTACAAACAACTGCACTGCTTGTTCAGGCTTGTGCGACGTCCTCTGACTTGCATGACAACTCAAGGGCTGACCAAAGTCTTTAGACCTTCAAAACCAAGTAATTAGATCACCAATATCTAAAAGTCTGACCTGCTGATTCTGATTTGGCTACTATTTTTTTATAGGGTCACAAAACAGGTTTTAAACTCATTTTATTGAAGAACAAGGAATAATTATTTATAGGGGAGATGATGCTCCTTGCTTTAACATGCAAATGTAATTTTTTTCCCCTTTTGGGGTACTGTCTGATCCCTAAATACCTTTTCATTTATTTTTCCTGTTTAACCTTTAATTTAATCTGATGAAGTCCCACTGAGATCAAAAATCGAGTTTACATGCCTGTGACACCTTTACAGATCAGCTCAAATGACACTCATATAAACACTTCAAAATTTATGTCTTTTTAGAGTAGTTCTATTGCACCATATTTTTCCTTTAACTTGAATAATATTTCCATAAAGTATTGCTCCTCCTATTTGACTAATTTTTTGACCACCTGCCATGACCATCTTCTCTGAATGAAGAATAAGTAGATTTTCAAATAATTGCATCAGACAAGGACATGCAGTTGAGGTTCGACTTAAAATTGGCACTTATTTTATCTTTCAAATTTTATCTTAATCTTACAAGAAAAGTATAAATTGTTACTGGAGATAGTTTATCCTTCTCTAGCATGCAGCAGATTACATAGTCTATTGGTTTCAAAGATTTTATTGCTTCTGCCTGAGAAATTTTCCAATTAATGTTTCATTAGTAGTTTATAACAAACTTTATATTTTGATGTGTCTGATTACATCAGTCAATTAAGAAAATTATGTTCTATGATGAGTTACTCAGTATTTCAGTAGCTTTCTTACCAATCACCTTTTTTAACTTTTACAGTTATTTACTGGAAGGCCATGTTTGACATGTTATACTCAAGTAAAAATACATTAAAGTATTGCTACTTTTTACTTAAATCTGATTTTTGGAGCTGCGTGGAAATAAAATGACACCATTGTGGACTTTATCTACTGATTTAATGCCTCTAAAAGAAACAGATTGGACCAAATTTTATTTAGGTTTTTTTTTTAAAGGGGCAGAAACGCTCAACAGTTTTTATTTTTTAAAACCTTCCATCTCTACAGTTATGCACCACTAGGTTTTTTCTATTAACATAAGATTATTATAAAAACTAAACACACATAAGTTGGTGGTTCTACCATGCGAGAAAAAGATATGAAAAAAAAAAAGTTTAAAGGGGTACTAATACTTTTAAAATGCAGAAGTAAGGCTTTACTTCCGTCTAACACCAGCTAGTTCAGGCAGACAAACGGAACACACATGTAGAGCCCCAGTGATGTCAGAGAGCACATGTGCTTTGGTGTTTCTAATTATATATCCACATGTGCGGTGTGGGAGATGAGCCGTAGACGGTAATCCAAGGGAAGCAAGAGCCGCGACGCTGCTTCCTCTGCTATGGAGAGGAGGAGAAGAATATAAAAAAGGTGGGGGGTAACCCAAACCAGCTCTGGTGGCCGGGCTGAAGCTACATGAGGATAGTATGGAGGCCCAATTCTGTTGAGCTGATTTAAATTTGGAGTTTATCTAATCAGCCCCTCAGATGGATCCAATCAAGGTCTTTACACAATGATTCCGCTACGGAGGAAAAAACACAATCTGGAGTTGATACAGAACCCAAAACATGGAACAGACGAGCACCAGACAAACAGATTACACAATGAAGTATTGCATGCCACAAAGACAGACAATGACAACAGTTTGTGAGGATATTTATCATTAAAGCACATGCATAGAGGGAGATTGATAAAAACCTGTGCTGTTTCTGTCATCTTCTGCTCAAACTCAGACTTGGCTGTAGCATATTTCTCCACGTATGACTTGTAGGTCTCTGTGGCTTTTTTGGCTTTAACTCCAGCCTGTAGAATGTAAACAAAAACAGATAAATGACTTACATTGCTTTCCGGATCAAGTCTCAGAATGAAAACTGATATCAACATCTAAGGGCAAGAAACAGCTCAGTGTTACGGTTTCTGTACAGACCATAATATCCAGACACACTTCATTATGCTGCATTACTACACGGAGGATATATGGGAGTCTGTATGTGCAGAGTGACCTCACACCTTGTCCACATCTCTCTGGGTGGCCCCCTCTTTGCGGAGGCGCTCCTGCTCCACGGTTTTGGCATTGTAGTTCTCCTTGGACTTCTGGAGAGCCTGAGAGATAGATTGGATGTTCTGGACGGCTTCTAGGGTTGGTGCAACTTCTTCTTTTGTCTGAAACAACGTGTAAGCTTGTTAAGACATTTAAGAAGCAGCGAAGGGTCTATTACTCTAATGTTTGCATCAATAAAATACCTAAACACTCTAGTTTACCATATGATCTTGTTAAAATAAGACATACCAGTCTTGTGAACACTGAAGAACTTTATATTATCATTAAAATCAAGCTTCCTATACAAGCTACAAGTCAAAATTTTACAGTTTTAGGGTGACAACAAAATGTTTAGGCTATTTTTTAAGTAAAAAAAATGTTCAAAGAGATTGATTGGATGGACGCAAGATTGGATAATAAGTTCCAGACTTTTCAGGACTCCTGTTAAATCTTCTTCCAGCTTTTCCTTACACGTGTGAAACAGACCTTTATCACGGTACCGCAGGAAGTAATGAAATCTACACAGCAGCTGCCAAATATATACGCAACTCTGCCTGGATCGGAACAGTCTGACTATATAACCTTCATGCAGAATGGTGGTTTCAAATAAAACTAAAATCAAAAAGACTAACGGCTTTTTTTCTGTTATTATATTCTTTGTTTCCCTGATTTTTATTTTTATGTTCACAAAAAAAAAAAAAAAGAAGAAGTTTGTAACCCTAAAGCTCAGTAGAGTCATGTTACATTGCCACAAATACCAAACCGTATCGATACCCAGGCAAATATTTGATACCTTTTTTGAGATCATGGGGATTAAAAAAAAGTAATATCATTTAAATTCATAAAAATATTGTTTAATAACATAAAAAACTCAATTTTTTTCTCAACAGAATCAGAGATTTAATCACTTAAAGAATAAATGCAAAATAAATAACTCAAATGTAGCAAAATTTTAGGGTTGTTTGAATGATTACTCTTTTAATGTGCAAATAATCTAGAAATCTAATGTTAACAATAGCAAAAATATGCAAACGACAGTTGTATTTAGTATTGATACCTTCCCAAATTAGTATTGTATCCGGATACAGTGTTTGAGTATTGATACTTTTGACAAACCCTTGATTGGAGAATTTTTGGACATCAACCTTAAGAGGACTTTGATCATTTTTATGTTGCTATCATTACACCCAATAGTTAAAAACCTCTAAACAGAGCAGGAAGCCTTTTGTAATGACAGGAACAAGAGAAATCTTTGTTTAAAAATGTCAGAGAGCCTAAACATAATCATCCTGTCGACTGTATCATATCATAAAGACTAAAAGTTCTGTTCTGATAATAAAATCAAACAAAACACCCTACTGTTTTCTTTCTAAATATATGATTACGATTATTGCTATGATGATGTAAGACTTTGCTTCTGTTTGCTTAACTATATTTGTACCAAAGAAGCTCTATCATTAACATCTTTAGGTTTATAGTATCTTTAAAAATAGATCAGGGAGGGAATATGAGAATAAAATATTTTCTGTCACATAAAAACACAAACTAGAGGTTCAGACCCTTTTATTAGTAAAAGCTGGAAACAATGGCATGCAGTTTATCTTAAAGACAATTCATTAGAATTAAATCGTCCTGTTGTCTGTTATGAATAGAAGACATTCAATCTAGCATTAATCCAAGTGGGATTTCTTGAGACAACATCTCCTATGGCCATAAAAAGAACAGTTCATTCACATCTCCCCCATAAGAAGGTATCGGTCTTACTTTCTTATGTGCTTTGGCCTGTTCCTCCACATACTTCTGTACATCTTTTATCAGGTCTTGTAGCTTCTTCACTAGATCCATGTGTAAACCGGCCAGTTTCTCCGTAGAGGTTTTGAAGATATCCCACATTGGTGCAAATGTCCTGTTGGGTGGGAGAAAACATGATAAGATTCTCCTTATCAAGAGTTCTCTTTCATTTCACTGGGTTAAAAAAAGGCAGAAACTCACCCTAGCTGAGAGAAGTTCCCAGCTGACTTGGCAAGTTTGGTCATCGACCTGGCATAGGCCTCTTCAATGGTACTCCTATGGGGAGAAAAGATGTATTTGCTTAAATATTCTGATATTTAAAATCCATATCAAATTCATAGCAATATGACTTTTGACTGAGCACATAAAATGGAGACACTGAGATATAAATATAAAAACTGATTTTCTGTGCAGGGAAATATCTGCATGTTAGAAAGCTAATTCTTGAATATTAGCTTTTCTTTCATTCAAAGGTATAGAGGAGGATGTTCGTGAATTTTTGAAAAGACCTGCCCTCTCCACTTATAAAAAAATGCACATGCACAACCCCATACCCGCTCCTGAGAGGGAACGCCAATTAAACGCATGCGAGAGCATGCACGAGCGCATTTCTCCTCGTGCATGCTCTGTTTTAAAGTTGCTGTTTGCATCGCTCATGCAAGATTTGTAATGTTTCCACTATGTCACCGCCAGTAAGTGAAAATGGGAAAAGCACGTAGGACGGATTTACGTAAACATATCACTAGAATGGTTGACAATTAAGAGGACCACTTATTTTGATGATCCACACGGAAAAAAGAACATTGTCCACCATAACTTTAAGAAGACGCAACATAAGCTGTCAGCGCTACACTGCTCTGCTCCCAAGACCTTTTCTCCTTTTTTTTGCATCATGGGCGCCAACTCTAAGGCATTTAATAGGGATGTAACAGATGAAAGCAAAATGAAACACAACTGTAAAATAAAAGGAATAGCATGAGTGGTTTTCAACAATTCTTTAATGACTGATATTTATTTGAATTCAATCCACCTACTCTTTTAAGCAAATAGATAATGAATATTATCCCGTATTTTATATATTATAGTTATATATAATATAACTATAATATATATACCTATTATCTATATATCTAGTTTTTAACCATCAAAAGTTGAATTTAAAATAAAGCATTACTGACAAGAGGAGCTGGAAAGTAAGTCATCTGATAGGATTTGGGTTTATTTTAGATAAATAAACCAGAACTATCAGTAAAGTATTGCAGCAGTTAGATATTAGATGTAGTAAACCGTACATAGGAGGTGTAATATACCTCACCGTCCCTTTACATAATTACCTTTATTTACATTTATGATGTTGTTTTCCCACATGTACCTTGCTGCTGTCTACACAGACTCCAAGATGATAAACCTCTGCTTCATTATCTTTTTCTATCTGGATGTTAAAAACCAACCTGACAAATTTATTTATAGAAGAATTAATGATGAAGCACAAACGTAGTTAGACGTCTGTTCCACTAAAACTATTCAAGACGGACTTCATATTAGATGGTAGTATTTATTATGACAGTCTACTTGAACATTTCCAGTTACAAAAAAGACCAAATCCTATGGATTCATAATTACAAATACAATTAAAGTTCATTTATTTTAAAAGAGATTCAAAAGCGTAAACAGATTTTCCCTAAAATATATCAAAATTAGGTATATATTCAGACCTCATATGATCTTTTTTCAATTTGTCTTAAAAAAAACAAAAAGAAAAAAACACCCAAATGTAAAGACAGAGATAACTGCAAGTACAAAAATATGATAATATCATCAGAGAGTTTTTTTTATTTTTCTAAGATTTATTTAATATATTTAAATTTGTTGTTTTTTTGTTTGTTTGTTTTTTCAAATGTCTCTTTAGCAGATTGAGTTTTATGAATTGCTTTCATTTTCAGTTTTACAGATCTCATTCTCTTCATCAGTAAAATGTTCTTTATCAGTTCTTTCAGAAAGTTATATACATATATAGTTTATATTCTCACACATGGAATAAAACTACTTCGTTTTATCCTTAAAACATTGTGAGAAAGTTGACTACAGTAAACTCCTAGTATCACAACCAAACATCTAAATACACAAAACACAACAAGAAGTTAAGATTTCCTGAGCTTCCAAATGATTTTTTTTTTCGGGGTCACTATGCGCCACAATTATAGAGAAGATTGCTGACTGGACTGATGTCCAGAACAAAGTCTACCACTACCTTCAAAGGGACTGAAGGTTTGGTTCTTCACAGATGGCTATTCATATTTATGGAAAGGTTAGTGGAGGGAAATAGTGTGGCAGCAATGGGAAAAACTGCAACCTGCAACCAAAATCTGCACAAAATAGAGTTGGGGAGTTTCCGACTGAGTGAACTAAGTCTAGCCGAAGTTCATCATAGATGTGTACTCACAGAGTGTATTAAACATGGGCTACAAATATCATATTCCTCGTATAAAAGCACCTCAGAAGAATCGAAACTTGTTGAAGGAGGAAAAGAGCTTGACAGTCATTTAGCGGCCTAAAGTTTTATCCATAAATGTATAGATCTCCAATCTTCACAAGCCTGATGTTCTGATAAAAAAAAATATTAATTCTTTACTGATACTATGTATTAGTCCAATTTTCCATGGCAGTGAATTTTGCCTTGTCATTGTTTGAATGCTATTGTCATCAAAATTACTTTCAAAAAGTGCTTCAAATAATTTTCCCTAAATAGCACCTCAATTTCACTTAATGAATTGAAACTCTTTTTTAGCGATATTCTGATTTATTTTTTTTTTTTATGTACAAGTGTAACCACTCAAAATGAATTATAAGCCAAAATAATGTTAAATGTTCGTTAAAATAAAAGGATTTAGCAAATTGGAAAGTTTAAAAAAGTTAACAAAAAAGATGAATTTTTAGTCTGGAGTTTAATTAAAATGATATATATATATATATATATATATATATATATATATATATATAAAGGAAATTAAACAATATAACATTGCGTACCAGAGAAATTTACAACACATTATGCAACAACCATTTGGAGGCTTTTAAAAGCCAATATGTAAATAAATAGAGAATGAGGATTTGAATAAGTTTTTCCCCAGGAGACAATTTACCAGGAGTGTCCAGTTGAATGTGTCGCTTTAGAGTAGAAACAGAAAGAAAAAACTCTCTATTGTCTATTGTCTTTAGCTCAAATGAGATTAGAGAAAATTATAAATAATATCTGAAGGGCCTCCTAAAAATGTTCAGGTTTATCTTGACAATGAATTACAGTCAAGGACAGAAAGATGCTGCCATTTTATCCCCACTAGAGGGAGCCATAGTGCAGTTTATTAAACATGATCTTTGCTGCTTGAGCAAACTCAACCATTTGTAAGTAAAATAAGATTAAAATCATGCTTAATTCAGAGTGCCAATGCTTAAATCTGAAGGTCTTATAAATTGAGATTGGATCTGGTAATAAATAACTATTAAGAAACGCCAAAGGGAAAGTATTAAAGAAGCTTCTATCTAGGTAGAAAACTTTAATTCAGGGAATCACCTGATTATTAGGAAGTGTTAACCAAAGAACTTACAGCCTCCTGTCAATTATTGTTTAATGAATACCTGCCAGGTGAGGTGTGGTATTAAAGAACAATAGGTGAAGCAAATTTATTTTTCAGTAAAGGCTCTCACACAGCAAGCACTACACACATAAAGAGAGAAGAGACAGGAATTTATAGACCAAATAACTTCAACCTCAAGTTGAGATACTTTGCCAGCAAAACCTCAAATTAGTCTTGGAACATTCAACCAAACTACTTAGCAAAAATGAAAGGAATATGAAAAAAATAAACTACAGGGAAAAAAGAATAAACCTGAAACCAGTAAATGATGGGATGATACCACAGATAAGTTTGAACAAGGTGATATTAGCTGTGAGAGAAATTTTAGCATCTGGACTAACCCTGCTCCATTTCAAAATCTCTAACTCTTGGAGGGAATCCTATAATCAAAGCATGGAAAAAAATTGTCATTTTTAATATAATTTACCTCTAAACATTTCCAGGATTAAAGGACTAATGTCTCAGAATGATCTGGAAAAACTAATCCATGCGTTTATTATTAGTCGAATTGATTACTGCAACGGTGTTTTCACAGGTCTGCCTAAAAAGTGGATCAGACAGCTGCAGCTGATCCAGAACGCTGCTGCCCGTGTCCTCACTAAGACTAAGAAAGTAGAGCACATCACCCCAGTTCTAAAGTCCTTACACTGGCTACCTGTCTAAGAGAATAGACATTAAAATACTTCTGTTAGTCTATAAATCTCTGAATGGCTTAGCAACTAAATACATCACAGACTTGCTATCAGTGTATCAACCCTCCAGACCACTCAGGTCTTCTGGCTCCAGCCTGCTCTGCATACCTAGAACCAGAACTAAACATGAAGAAGCAGCATTTAGTTCCTATGCTCCACATATCTGGAACAAAACTGTATTTCCAGAAAACTGTAAAAGTGCGGAAAGCTTGAGTCCCTTTAAATCAAGAATAAAAACCCACTGTTCTAGTTAAACAGTTCAACTAAAACATCATTAGTTCAACGTTTTTATTTTCTTTAGTCCAACTGTTTATAATGTTCTTATTTTTTTGTTTCTGCATTTTTTTATTTTATTTATTTCCTACTTGCTTTGATTCTTTTTTATTTTCCTATATTTTAATCATGTAAAGCACTTTGCATTGTCTTTGTACTGAATTATGCTATACAAATAAATTTGCCTAAACCACTACATGAAATACGCAATGGCAGATTTTTGTCCTTTAAAGAACCTTAAAATGAGAAATTCTTTCCTAAATCATATTTTCCGTGCGATTCCATTAAAAATGATCAGCATTTTAAGACTGGGCAGGAACTCCATCATTTCAAAGCTACAGTTGTTCAGTCATCTTAGTGGAGTACATTGCATTCCTTAAATTGCAGTAGTGTCTGGATGACTCAGCGCAATCTTCCACGACAGACGGACGGGAGGATTTCCTGACGTTAAACCAGGTGTCAGACGAGTTCTACACCTACACCCTCTAGAAGGCAAAGGAAATCTCTGAAAATGGGAAGGATATAAAAGGAACCTCTCATTTTGCCATTAGGGATGTGCAGCGAACTGATGGCTGCCGGCTAGACTTGTGTCTTTATTACTGAGCTTTACTCAAAAGGTAAAGAAAGCATTGTTGATAGAAGTCTTGTTGAATAGTTTGCATCAAATAATTTCAAAAAGGACAAAAATAGAGCACTAAAATACATAAAACTGGACTAACGGCACTAAAACTGGAAGAACGGCATAGATAGCTGTAGGTGTATCAGTTTACTCAAGCTGCTGGTCATACCTTTCTCTGATGAAGTCTGTCAGCTCCTTGGAGGAAATCTGCCCATGTTTCATGTTATGGTAGAGCACATCGAAGCCATTGTTCTTTTCTCCCTGCATTGCAGACACAAACACACAAAAACAAACAAACCCAGCATTAGATCTTGGGAAAAGGTAAAGAGAGACACAGAACCACTGTTTGCAGTATACGTTACCATAAGCAGGTTTTCCACCACCAACCTCCTCATTGCCTGCATCGCTTCTAGCTGTGTTTGCAAAACCTTCTGGTCAATCATACTCATCTTAGCCATGTTTGAGAGTTTTAAACTTTAACAAACTGCAGCAGGCAGGTTTAAAGCTACGGTGTGTTTGTTGTTCCCATTCACTGGGTAACGGTGTCATGTTGCACTGCTGCTTTAAAGCAGGCAAAAAGGGACTTATAAATTATAGATCTAAAACGTCGCTGAGGATAGAGTGACAAACTTGTTTATACTGTCTGCTTTTAGTATACGTCCCAATTTATCCCATTTAAATTATATTAAAATCTTATTACTTTACAATATAAATCGAAAGTACTCATACCAATTTTCTTTTCTTTGGTCTTAACTCGTGTGTTTTTATGCTTAGACTTCTTCAATCTGAATTAAAAGTGTTTTATAAATTAAGTTTGATTAAAAAAATATTTATTGTCATAGAATTACTGAGCAAGCTAATTACTAGTAATAATGATTGTAGGGCTGTTATTAGTAGATTTTAGTACATGTTTATGTGTAAGCTTAAAATATATATATTTCACTATATCGTATTTCATCAATGTGACTTATATGAAGCAGAAAAGGCTGACAGAGGAAAACTAAACATTTTAAGATTTAAAATGTTGATTTGGTCCAAAATGATCTTTTTGTGAAGAAGCTGAAACCTAAACAACAGTTTCTAAAGGTAACATTTGAACGTACTCACATTAACAAAAAGAAGAACTCCGCCTAGATTTAGCATGCACTCACCAACTTAACAAGAGAAAACCTGTTTTATGATCTAGACGATCAATTAGTCATAGTTAAACAGACATGAAGCAAGCAATCAATAGGCAGCTGCTTTGCGGACTACTCTGTGTGCAAAGATACTTGGCAGAAAAAAAAGAAAAAAAAACAGAGTGTGACAATCAAGCAAAGTTTGGATTTTTTTTGCAGTATAGCAAGTTGTGCAGTTATTCCCCAATCCTTCATTTCCCTACAGTTTATCCTAGCAGGTAAAAACCTGAGATCAATCTCTTTTTCAAAGGGGACCTGTTAATTCAGCAGCCAATGCAAATCCATGGCACTGACAGCCAACGAGAAAAGGAGCCAGGGACCAGGCAAAAGACAGCAATATGAACATAAATGCAGTGGGAATAATCCAAAGCATCACCTATCTAAATGTAAGACAAAAAAAAAAACTAAATACACAAGAGAGATACTCAGATGTTAAAACTACGAGTGATATAAGACTAAAATGGGGTAACTTATTGAAATAAAGCACAGTTCATACATACTGAATGAACATTTCTTCATTGACCAAATCAGTTTTTACCATATGTTCAATGTTATATTCATATTCTGACCCAAACACCATATTGTTACTTGTTGGAATAGAAATAGCAACACTTTTAATGTAAAATCAACAAGTAAAGCCATTTTTTAAAATTTATGGCCCATGCTTATTTAAGCTAGTGGAGAATGAAACATTAACAAATCCTATAAGAATAAATAAAATGGGCTTACATACTCAGACACTTAGGATAAAACAATTTTTTTATGTCCTAAAGGAGAAATCTTTTTTAGAAGGGCATCCAAATAATATTATCCTCACTATGGAGGGACTAGAAAGTCACCAAAAAAGAAAAGCCTTTTCAAATGTAACATTTAAATAATGAAATTTGAAATCCAATTTGAAAAGCATTTTGTAATTATATATAGAATTACATTACTATTGAATTATTAGAGAAATTGTACATTTTATTTATTAATCCATTATTAAATACTGGAATTTGTAAACATAAATTTGATTCTAAATACCTTTCCTAACCATACATTTAAAAAATGTATTCAATTTTTTTCCTTTTCAACATCTATTTTAAAAAATACTTTTTATTTCTGTTTTACCTGCCCCATTTACCTCTTCTGGTCTCTGATAATACTGGAAACCAGTTAAATCAATCACAATTGCTCCTCAGATGTAACCGGCCCTCTAATTGGCTGGTTACTGGAGGGTTGTCTGTTCAAGCCCCGCCTTTCAGTGTCGTGTCCTTGTGACACTTCACCCTCATTGCTTAGTGATGGTGGTCAGAGGGCGTGGTGGAGTGTGCAGTGTAATGTAGCTTGCCACCATCAGTGTGTGAATGCATGCGTGAATGGGTGAATGACTGAATGTAGTGTAAAGAGCTTTTCTTTTGACTTGATAAAGCTCCTTATAAGTACATTTATTATTCACCATAAAGAAATCCAACAAGATACAGTGGTTAACCTGCACTGTAAAAAATCTGGGGAAAAAAACAAAAAACAAAAAAAAAAAACAGAAAAGGTCCTGGTAATTTTTTGCCAGTATCTTTTCAGATTTTTTTAAAGGATTTTTCTGTAAAAAGAAAAAAAAAAAATCAGTAGAAGAAAAAAAAAAAAAGACAATTTTTCATAGCTGAGCGGTCCAACTTTTATTCTTAACTTCAGCAAGAATTGATTAATTATGTAAGAATCTTTCTTTAAAAATATACCATATATAAACCAGTTTTAGATGAGAATTCATAAAACACAATCTATACGTTTTAAGATGTTAATATTTTGATTTTAAAAAAAGCAATTAGAAAAAATATGTAATGAAAAAACAATCTCCAGTAGCTTTTTACACCTTGACCATACATGTATACATGAATGGCTACACAATACTATCTTATGTATTGCTTTTAGCAAGCACTATGTATGGGCGTACATTGTACATTGGAAAAAGGATTTAGAAATAAGTAAGAATTTCTTAAATTAAGTGTATTTACCCTTAATTTGAATAGGGAAATGAGATGGTTTGCCAATGGAATGAGTATTTTTACTCTTAAAATAAGATAATTCGATAATATACATTTGAAATAAGACAATGTGATTATTTTTTCTTATTTTAAATCTAAATTGTCTTGTCCCAATGGCAAAATGTCTCTTTTATCTTCTCAATTTAAGAACAAATGCACTGATTTTAAGAAAATATGACTTATCTAGATTTCGATTTTTTGCAGTGTACGCCCTTTGCTAAATATATGACAAATTGTACACCCTGTTTTGGGGAGGTACAGCTTTGGTACACCCTAATTTTCCCCCGGAAACTTTGTTCAAATGTTCAAAATTTCACAAAATTGCTACTCGATGCACCATATCAACCAATCAGAGAAACTGATCTGGGAGCTGGCAGGGAGACAGACACAGCGCCGCTGATGCAGAGCATTATGGTCACTCCACTGAAACTGTTTATTGCCTAAATAAACAGGCCTTTACTGGCCAAATCAACTTAAAATGTCGAAAACC